GTCAGTGATCACAGTGGTTAAGCTGCAGAATGGTGGCTGAGGGTCAGCCATCTTATTGGTTAGGGGTCACAGGGAGCACACTTTGGCAGGGTTACTGGAGGTCCAACAAAGAAGCAGCTGATCATTAATGCTGCTGGAACCTGGTGATAAGTACAGCACAGCACTCCTCATGGACAACCCTAACCTGCTTCTATGGCTTCCTGTGATATTTGGATAGCAACATTTATTTATAGATCAGAAATCATCCTCCAGTTTATGCTTAGTGTTCTATAATCATACAAACTCGATTTTACGAATCTCAGGAAAGAAAAACTTGTGTTGTCTTAGTAGTAATCGCATGACAACTATACAGTACGGTGGACAACAAGGGCAAATTAATTGCAACAGCACAAAATATTTCCATTACCAGAAACAGGCTGCAAAATTCACGATTCAAATATTACGGCTATGTGTGTCCCCCCTTCTGTTGTCTTGCTCGGCAGGTGAGGTTAATTAAAAACAAAGTGCTCTTGGCCTTGTTTGAAAACCCCCGTGTTGATTTCAGTCTGAGTCATTTGGAATAAGGACTGCTGCCTTGCTGCCTCTTCAACCGAGATTTGGTACTTTTGTTGTGTATAGTTGTAGTTTGGTCCTGAGCTGATCTTTGTTCTAGGATTTAGATCTTTGTATAAGAAGGCATAAGAAGGACAAGCAAGAGTCCAACGCTATAGTGATAGGGTTTTTTTTTTTTTTTTTGCATCATCAAGGTAAAAAAAAAGCTGAGAAGAATATACTGGCAAGAACAAAACACAAAGAAACAGTTTCACTATGTCCACAAAGATCATCCAGAGTTTGCAGAATATAAAGTCCATCACCCCCTGAGTTTTCCAAATGATTACCTGCTGCGTTCACAAATCAGCCATCCCTGACTTGCAGAAATTTCATATTACAAATAAAATTCTGGATGGAGCGGAGGGGAAAAATGTGGCTACTTATGTTCACACATGCAGCATTTCAGGAGATTTGTGCATGTGTGCAAAGCGATTTACAGTGTGGTCAATGTGATTTTAATTGCAGGACTGTTTGATGTTTGGGGGTGTTAGTGTGCATCCTATAATGTAATTGTGTATTTGTTATTTGGAGTATAAGGATCCTATGTAAGACACCTCTTGTGCACAGTTCCACACTGGTATTCATCTCAATGGAAACAGTGACACTTCTCACTGTGGACATGTTGGCCTCAACAGTGTAACGAATGAAATTAAAGATTGCTTTGTTCAATTTACCTGAACCAGTGAACAGCAGCCTTTATAAGTGTTTTCATTACACATTGCTTGAAAAGCCACAGGTGTTTAAGACTGCTCATAGATCTGCCAATACTTGAAACTGCTCTTTCATGAAATAACATCACTGCATGAGCTGGTTCACGGTTTATAGTCTCTGGTAAAACATCAGTAAGCCTATGGCATAAGAAATACAAAATAAGAAGAACTTATTTGTTGAAATTCATCTGACTAAAGCAAAAACAATTACTATTTTAGGGGCACTGATGGCCTAGCAGTTAGGTCCCTCCACATATACAATGGTTGTCTTCCAAATGGACGACCCGGGTTTGAGTCCAACCTGTGGCTTCTTTCTGCATGACATCCCACTCTGTCTTTTCTATTTCCTACTCTATCCACTGTAATTCCCCCAAAATACTTTTATTTTTATTTTTACATGACTATTTTGGATGAACACAAACACAAACATTGCAAACAAAGTAAAGGTCACCTATTAACACAGAAAATCTCATCTTCTGTTCAAGGGTTAATTCTGAAAGGCAGCTGCTGCTACAATTAAACTGGAAGGCAATTTAAACTGCCATACTCAAACCCCCCCACACGATACACACGATACACACACACACGCACACACACACGTGCACACACACACACACGCACGCACACACACACACACGCACACACGCACGCACACACACACACACACGCACACACACACGCACGCACGCACACACACGCACGCACGCACACACACACACACACACACACACACACACACACACACACACACACACACCTCATTCCTTCACTCAGAGAGCGCTCAGCTCTGTGGTTGCCATAGTAACCTTGAAGCCAATAACAGCCCTAGACCTTTCCTCCCTGAAGACGGGGATAAAAATCGCCCCCAATCAAATTTACCTGACAGAGAACAGGTTTCACTGCTGCAGCATCATCACATCCTGAACCTGCACCCATCCTCAGGTCCTCCATCCTGCATTGTGTTTCCCAATCCTCCACCAAATGAGGAGAAGACAGCATTATAAATCAATTTACAAGCTGTGTGAGACATTTCAGCAGTGGATGGAAATAAATAATGGCACATGAAGGATATTGAAAACAGGGAACGGGTGGAGGCAACAGCATGCGCAGCTGACACAGGAAACATAATAGTATTTTTTGTGGATGCGTACACATGTGAGTGATGAATTATGGATGGCAGGGATGGAGAGAGGAAGAGGAAGAAGACAATATCTGTGTCTTTGCTTTCTTGTGAAGGATCCTGATGAAGAAATGTTCAGTCAGGAAAAGTTATTTAAGGACAGTGAACTGTTCAATAAAGTGGATGAAATAAACTTACGTCAGATCATGCAGGCAAATTGAAAACCTGTCTAGCTTCACTCACTGGCTTTTTTTTTTTTTAGATAAATTCAAACTAGGTTTATTGTTTTTTTTTTTTTGTGACCATGTTGCCATTTAGCTCAAAGCCCTGCTAAGCCAATTCTGCAGCCGTAGTGTATATTTGTATTCTGAATAAACCACACACAAGCTTTTGTTTTTTATCAGCTCCTTTGGGAAATATGTGGCTCCTCCTTAGCAGAGTATAAGCTCCACTATGCTATCTGAGTCCAGGTAGTGTTCAGTGGGTTAATCAGAGGCTGAAACAGCAACCTGCTGCACCTGGAAACATCTGGAAACTTCTGAAACTGAGGGACTTTAAAACAAAAGCAATGAGTCAGAGTTGACAGAGGCTGCCTATAGAGCTCAAAAGAGCTGCAGATATGACATTTTCTTTCTATAAATCAATAAAAACAAGAACTTTCACATAAAACATTTGACCTGTTGTTTTTTTTTTTTTTAATGATTAAGTGAAATGTATCTCTAGTGAAAGTTCAGTCCAGAAGACTATATTTTGCACGCTCGTTTTATCGATCATAGAGAGTCACAGTGACGTCTCTGATGGTGGAGCTCACCGTTACCTTGGAAATGTTTTTCCCACTCCCCAGCGCTGTATGTTAAGATAAAGTTCTGCGAGCAGGCTAACTAGTTAGGTACAGTAGCTAGCAGAAATTGTACTATTAACCTCCTATGCGGCAGTGAATGTATAACTTTCACAACCCAAATTACAAGATATTACAACACTTGTATTAACAGAATAAACTCTATAACAACAAAAAAGTTACATTTAAGGAAGCGGTATCATTACCAATGGGTTATGGTATGGGTAGGTGCTTGACTCCAAAAAAAAATAAGCAAGGTCTTGTACCTTTGCCTTTTTCATTGTTTTCCAATTGTTTTTTTGTGCCGGATCATATGTTTTATAGTCATGAGTAATGGGGTAGCTGGTTGACTTGGTTCTAGGCTTCAGTCGCTTGATAAAACGATTTTGTGAAATGCCAATGGAGGATTTGAATGAGGGAATTTATCTCAAGAACCAGAGCCGCTGAAAAAGTGGGCGGTCACTGTTGAGCTATTTTAGTTGCAGGAGTTGACTGTGAAGTTTTAATAACTTCCTGTTAGTTAACCTCTCACCAGGAACAATCTGGAGGTGGCCATTTGCTGAATTAAAGGCTTGTTGTTCTCAATGGGTAACGTCAAGGTGGCTACATCCATTGTTGGAACAATATACAGAAAAGACACTTAAGCAGCAGGTAATATCAGTGTTTCCTTGGTGTGTATCTTGTTCCCTCTCTCCTCCCACACACTCTCAGGCTAATAATGATCATATAGCCTAATGTATTTACTCAGCTAATTAAAAAGAACATAGTAGAGATAAGATGTTTAATGGTTTCTTTGTTTATGCTGTTAATTCAGAGTAAAAAGAGTAAAACGTGAAGTAGGAGGACAAGACCACTGTCAGCTTGGCAGAGCAAAGGTTTAACATGACAGTGGTACAAAAAATGTAATTAGAGAGAAAGGACGAGAATCAAGACACAAGAGAGGAGAAATAACAGGGAGTGATGTTCTCCTGACTGAGAATTTATCTCGAGGGGCACAGTGTTTTTCACTCCATCAGTCACAGGCACTGTTTCCCCTCTTACCGTGATGAGCTGAACCCTGAGGTGCAAGCCTGCAGTGCACAACATGCACATTTATTTATCACAGAAATCTAGGTACAGTTTTTATTTGCATACATTGTCAGGTCTTGAGGTTTAAAGATATGCGACTGCAGTAATTGAAAAATTACACACTATTTGTAAAAAAAATTTGTATGTTTCCATAATTTGTTTTCTAGATTTGGGAACAATTTATGAGGAAGATTTAGAGTTAGCTATGGGATGCTTGTAGGTATGCAAATTAGAAGCACATTGGCTCTTTATTATTCATTGTAAAGTACCTAATGCCTTATTCTGCTCATCCATATTCTGAATTGACTGGTAGTTTCCCTTCTCTTACAAAGAACAATACTTAGGAGGGGTATAAAGTTAAACCTATAGATCGGGGATTAGCAATGTGAAATATGGTAATTCTACTTAATACCACCCAATGTGTTTGATATCTGAGATAAGTTTTCTAATGAGTTATAAATCAAGTATGCCATGTGTGCAGATGATCACAGAGTGAGTGATGTCAAGACAGCTTTAAGGTTAAAAAAAAGGTCTAGTTGCACAGGCCTGATACAACAGTATGAAAACAGCTTCCAGTTTGAATCAGTGTCTTAAAAGAAATGTTATTGTCAAGTAACTTTTCAAGCACTTTTTATTTTAATATTTCAGAGTAAATCTGACAAGACGGAAACACTTTGGGCACACCTTACGGTACTTACATCAGAAAATCGTTAGTAATTATTAGTATCAATAAAATGTAACATTGTTGGCTTTACGGATTTATCTCCTCTTGACTTTGTTCAATGCATTTCTGCTTTAAATGCAAAAAAAGTGCAGATGTGATGCAACGTTCTTTAAATACTTTTCTACGCTTTTGGCAAATCAGTAGAGTAAAAGTAACTAAAAAAAGGGTCAATCCAAAGTTGAGCAGTGATCCTACCCTGTAGGCCTAACCAAGAACAGAACAGCCTGAACCGTCAGAAGTCAGATAACTGTTTATTGTTTTTTTTCTCTGCTTTGTAAATCTCTTCAATTATAAGCCACATTTTAAAGAATACAAACAAAGAGTTATTCAAAAATAAGACATCAGTTGGACATTTTTCAGAACACATCATCCATATTTCAGGAGTATCATTATAAACATTTGTGTTGTCTGCAATCCTCATCTAGAATCACAGCACAAGGTGACCTGCCAATATACAATATAAGGATCCACTGAAATTTAGTACTGACAATATTTAAGTGTGTAAGTCATGCGAGAAAAACCTCCGAAAGAGTAAGATAACAACTAGTTTGAGTATAACTAGGAACGTTTGTATAGAAAAAACATTACGTTTACAAGCAGGCACTGTATGTTTGCAACAGGGGAATAAAGATCACTGACTTTCACACTTAAACAACCAGCAGTGCCACTGTATATTAAGAACAGAGAGCATATCAATAGTAGTGCTACAGGTGAGCTACAAACACCAGGTAAGATGAATCCACAGTAAAACTACAGCTTTGAGGCAGTGTGAAAACCTTCAGTATTTTGCATCACTCAGACAACTCTGACTACTTTTCTGTTTCGACTACCTTTCCTAAGTCCATTCTGAGCACTCAAGACTGCAGTCACGTGTCATTTTTTTAATGACACGTAATTCCTCGATACGGCCAAGAACACCACAAGAGCAGAAAGCTGTCAAAACACATAATTTAGCTTTCCTCTGCCTTGTTTGCCTTTGTTTCCTCATTTCCTTCCTGACATTATGCCTTTCCCCCGGGCTTCATTAAGGTTTTAAGTGACGATATACATGTCTCTCATCACACTTCTTACCCGCTGCTGCATAATTAGCATTTTACCAACAAGTGTAGAAACAAGAACATATGTATTTATATACAGTACAAATTCAACATTTGTTTCGAGTCATTTTATAGCAGGTGGCCTTTAACAAAATACTACATGGTGTACATAGAAAATTGACAGCTTTGGACAAAATATAATGTTCAACACACCAATCCTCTCTCTCTCTCTCTCTCTCTCTCTCTCTCTCTTTCTCTCTGTCTCTCTGTCTCTCTCTCTCTCTCTCTCTCACACACACACACAAATAGAGTAAGGCTTTAGGGTTTCAATCAAATTTGAGCATGTCATGCAAACACAAGTTTGTCATCAACATATTAACATCACAACTAGTTCTCTGCTCTGCAACACTAATACACTTGTCTTCTCATGTAAAACATTTCATGCATTTACATGCACACACAAACTGTGTTTGTCCACTACCAATAATGGTTGCATAAATTAACAATAGTTTTATTTGGTTTCTATGAAGGATGTAAATAAAACTGACTAACCTTGTTTCTTGTCCCACCGCTATCTAATAAATACTTTGAATCCTTGAATACTTTAAACTAAAAAGACAACAACTCATTTCAATCACCTATTAAGCATTTTATCACAGCAACTTCTAATAAAATGTATTCTTCTGGTGCTATTTAGATTATTTAAAAAATGTTGGCAAACAGATTAGATATGTTCCACTGAAGCATCTTGACAAATGATGGACATTTTTAGACATCTGTTGAGAAAACTTGTTGTCACTTTTTCTGTGTTTTGAGAATCTGTGCAGAAAATGCAGACCAGCAGTCTAAATGCAGAGAGAAGATGTTGGTGTACTTATTTTGGCAAAACGCTGTTGCTTGGTTGCACAGATTTAATCTAGGTGCCCACACTGGATGAGACATGCGTGACAGGCTGCAGATGAAACCTGCACTCATGGTCCCTCATGAGTCCAAACTGGAATAAAGACATGAAACATTTTTATGCCATATGAGTAACAACTGGTGGTTAGGACGTTAAAATCAAGTCACCTCACACTGGATATGTTTTGGTTTATCAGGTTTACGATTCAAAACCGTATTTTGTTTAAGAGAGTAGGTAAAACAAACCTGCGAGTGCATGAAAAAATATGAACCTGTTGCAAAATATGAATCAACTTATTTCAAAATGTTGAATATTTTAAAATGAAAACTGCATTAGAAAAAAACACAACAGATTAAAAACAAGCTCCAACCTTCAAATTGCAGAATACAGGTTCCTAAAGTTTGGTCAAAGAAAATGAAACTTGTAGGTACCTCATGGAGATGATAGAAAATTAATTAAAAACAAAAAAAAATGTTTTTTATGAGAAAAATAATGCATTCATATATATTTTTTAGACTGAGGAATCCCCACGTATAATTGTGGTAGAAAACACTACATGTTAACATTAATATATATATTTTTATCAAACAAACAAACCACTTCAAAGGGCCCTTTTAACCTAATTATAACTTTCATTTTCAATTTTCAATTCTGCAGCATTTATTCATTAAGAGGGTTTCTTTTTTTGCTGTGCATGTAAATATGGCCATTGTGGCTCACTGTTTTGTCCCTCATCCCCCCCTGTAGTAGGTTGGCCATGGCAACTGGGATCAAAGGGCTATTTGCACATCAGGATATAGAGCTACTTCAAAGCTCACACTGACTCACAAAAGCATCTTTGTGCTGCACACATGTTGTAGCTGATGTAGAATCACATCCTGCGCTGCTGGATTTATGTCACATTTTCATAAGAAAACCCTTCCACACATGACGGGTGCAGGCGAGGACATGGAGACGGGTCAATGCACAGGTGGCTCTAACCTTTGAACAGGACCTCACTGAGGATGCTGACGTCCAGATAAGTCCAGGAAAAAAAAAACACCTTTCATCTGTAGAACCAATCTGTTGCTGCCGAGGCCTGCTTGGTTAAATTAGCTTTCATTTTGGGGTGAAGTAGCCTGGCATGCCTCGATCCCCACCCATGAATCATTCATCAGTTTATGAATGTCGTCCAATTCATTTTCTGGGCTGATTTTATTTTATGTTCTCAGAGGAAAGCCTCCCTTTCATTCTAGGAATTATTATCCCTACATTATTTTGACAGCAGGAATCCATTAGAACAAAAACAGCTGTTTTTGTATATATATAAAAAAAACAACAACAACAACAACAAAAAACAGTGCAAACATCTAATGTCAGTGTTCTTGCTTTTGCCTTATTTGACCTCCAGGTCCTGTGGCTTTAAAGCCCAGAGAGCAGCTTTGTCAGTGGCAACTCTCTCTGTCCCAGCAGTGTGTCCCTCTTCAGGCTAGTACCTTTGTTAACCACCTTAAACTTCATGGACAGGTTCTTCACCTGCACTGAGCTTATAGAGTCAAAGAAGAAGTCCTCATTGAAGACTGGGTTACGACTATTCTTGATGATGTTGCTCCTTTGCTTCTGCAGCTTTCCCGGGTTCAGGTAGATGGACACGCAGCAGTTGATGCTCTTGATGTCAAAGTGCTTGTCGTAAAGACTCTCTGCAGCGAGGACCCGGATGAGCAGACGAGAAGTGCTGGAGTCGTAGTTGGCACTTATCCTCATTGACCCTCCTTTGTGCAGGCTGATGGTGTGCTCTCGATGGAGCTTGTTGTCTGAAACTCCTGCGCCGCCGTGCACAGAGGGCACATTAAGCCGTCGCTGGATATTAGGGCTTGGCTCGGCTGAGCTGCACTCATCAGTGGAGAGCGAGCTGTGGCGAGCGAATGTCCGCTTGGCTTTCACCACTTTGGCCTGCGTCTCATGGGTGAAGATCTTGAGCAGGGAGGCAGAGCGGGAGAGTAATGGAGAGCTAAAGGGAGAGGACTCAGCCGAGGAGCAGGTGTCACTCTCCCCACCGCTGAAGTATCGATAAGGATTCATGTGAGAGGTGTTGAAGTCGGCGGGATTCAGGTGGTTTCCTCCTTCGCTGCCTCTTCCCTGGGTCTTCCTCTGGGTGTTTGGAGAGGTGATGGGACTGGTGTGCTCACAGTGGAACAGCGACTCTTTACGACGAGTGTGGGGGCTTTCCTTCAAAGTTGCAAAGCCATAAGGTGTGTGAGTCTTGGGGACATAAGGCAGTGACATTGCTGTCTGCGACTGAGGGTCTGCATTGGTGTCTCCAGTCACAACATCGTCTGCACTTTCTATCTGGATGATGTGACGGTTTGCTGCTTTCAGCAAGTTCTTGGTGTCTCCAGCGATTTTGGCGACTAGACGTGGACTTCTTGGGCTGCTGATCTTCTTCCCGATACTGATAGTTTGCTCAGAAGTTGAGGGTTGCAACCCTTCACTGAGCTTTATGTTAGGAATCTCAGGTTCTGGAGGGCTGCTGACCAGCTTTGGGGGAATGAAGAAGTCTGGGATTTTGTCAGGGGTGAGGACGTTGCTGTAGGATGAAGTCACACCTTTCTTGTCTCCGTTTTCTCCTTGTCGCAGCATGCCAGTCTCCACCGAGTCTCGGATCTTATCCAGGACCCACATGGTCCCACCTGACAGTGGGATGTGTGGGTGTGTGAAGTAATTGTAGTCAGGTGTGTCTGCAATTAATACCACAGAGAGGTATATGATCAGAGGACAGTAACTCCACAGGGAACACGACACAGATTAAAATAGCACCTTGGTATTGTAGCTCTGCTGTCTGTGCTGAAACCTTAATAGTTCATTGTTTAAACAGAGAAATAATGCAGCACACTAAATGTATACTTAACTTTGACTAAACAGTAAAGAAAAAAAACTCTCACAAAAATCTCTGAAGAGCTTCAGCTGTTTTACAAGGCTTAGAATGACTGATGAAAGGCCAACACAGCTCAAAAGGCAGCAACATGATTCATTTAAAAGATACAAAAGTAGCCAAAAGTCCACTTTATTTACATGTTTTTAGCAAAGGAGTCATTCATAATTTGTTAGACAGCAGAGTAGCCAGGGAGCAGAAGTGGTCATAAATAGCCTATAGTCGATATAGTCAACAGTTGTATCACTACTTCACATTTAATGTAGGCTATCATTCTTTATTTTCATAAATCTACAACTACATTAAGTATCTGAGTTCACATAATAGATAAAGAACCCGATGTGTGCCGGAAAGTAGGCTATTTATGTTATAGATGATCTTGCCGTAATTCAAAAACACCTTTAGACTCGTGATAGGGATATCATATCTTTTTGCTTCTTAGATCACATTGACTGAGGAGTTTTAGTGGAACATATATTGAGAATATTGTTTTAAAGATACGGACGCATAAGTTCAACAGGTGCCAGAAGGTTTGCTTCATTTACGAACCAGCAGTCCGTAGTTTCAAATCCTCTTTCATCCATTAACTTTACATTATCTCGAGTTTTCAAACTATTACTGTCTTTAAAAATGTTCAAATAACGTACTCACAGCACTAGTGGAAAGCACACGCTCCTCTTTGTCTGCTTGCTCAGTCAGTAACAGGTGTTTTCTCTCCGCGCGCCGCTCTGCGCCCTCACGCGCTCTCAGCTCCAGAACTCCTGGCACGCGCTTTATACACAGCTTCGGGCTGCACCTAACCAATGAGATCAAAGTAAGAGCTGCCCAGCTAAAGCAACTAGAAAACAATACAGCAGTTACATATCAGAGTGGAAGGAATCCTACAGACATGGGCTCATTTTGCTGTCAGCACAATCACTTCCACGATTCAAATAGAAGTGTCCAATTTTGATTTTCATAAACTGCGAGTTTTATGGGAATATTTGTGCCCTAAAAAAGACTAAAAACAGTTGTTTCAACGTTAAAAATTTCAAATTGTATTAACCACGAAGAGAAGAGATAACCTCGGCTTTAGTACCATCAGAATTAATTTCCCCTCATTTTTACAGTAGACTATGTGTCAACAGACATTTTATAAGTTATCACAACACATCATATTTGAGCAGGAAACTGCAGCACTTCTCTTCCATGTGGTTTAATAGAATTTCCCAGCAGCGTTTTCTTCCCCTCCGATCCTTTTTTCCGTTTATCTTTTGGGCTTAAACCATCTGATCAGTTTCCTTGGAAACTTTGCTATGGCAACAAACGCATTTGTCTGTCTAAAAGAGGGAGGGCCCCACTGACTTCATTGATTGCCAGGACAAAAAGCACCATTTGACTAGATTGCTTAGTTTTGATCTTAGTAGCCTACCATAGCCATGGACAGAGAGGAGTCCCTGTTTTATCAGAGATCAGTTTCATAACATAACAGAACTGCATTAACCTGACAGACATTTTAAAAATGCAGCCTAGAGCTGTGCAGAGTTGTGACTGCAGCTCAGGGAGAAGATGGAGAAAGCAAAAGCTTTACAAACAGCTTATTAACAGACATGTAATTAAGCTCTGTTTAATGTGTCACTATACCTCACTCATAGGAGAATGAGATGAGCTTGATTGTTCTGGAGCTAATCTGATCTAATTGAAAGCTGCATATCAAGCTGTACTCCTGCATTCAGTCTTTTCACCCCTTAAAACTTTCTGAGATGTTTTTAATCTGGATCAAAGTGGTGGATCGTACCATCCAATAATAGGGAGCTGTATGCCATTTGCATGCTGTTAGGTGGGGGTTGTTTCTGTTTGTATAAATACAATGAAGAAATCGTGAAACAGACTGGAGATTATAACACCATTTAATCGGCCGAGGTCAGACAACTTCATCAAACAAGCACGCTTCCAAATCACTTGACTGACAAAGTGCTGACAAAGTAACAGTGTTCACAGTGCTGCTTATATTCTGTCAAAAAGGTGCAACCCACAAATTCCTTTCCATTTGGGTGCATCACCATAAAACAATAAAGATGACATGACACTGATTTGTATACGTATCAGCTGTAGACTCTCTGTCTAGCAAACAGTTGCTGACAACATATGGTTCACCCATATAAGTTTACAGCTTCAGACACCTAAAGGTAGGAGTGTTAACACGTGGTAGACAGACTTGAATAATACATTTCACGAAGTTACAAGATTAATGAATTTCATGAAAATTCGTACTAACATATGCCTTAATATATTCATGATGAAAACTGATTATCAGTGCCTGAGGAACACAAAACACTAACCAACTGTTGCATGTCTTTCATCAAAATATCGCTAAGCAATGTTCAATTTTTCCCTGCTAAATCTATGCCTACGTCTAAGGTCTAAGGAAATCAAGAGCAAAAAAACTAAACAAAGTCAGTAAACTGTAATTTCAAAGTTGACAAGAAGCAATGTTCATGTTGGACCACGTTATAGCTCAGTCACACATGATCCACCTGCACCCAAAGGTACAACCAAACACGTCATGACATTCAAAGACAATCACATACAGGCGACTAACATTTACCAAAGCAAACAAATCCACGTCTATTTACTCATGCATCTGTGCAAATATGCAAACACAATGAAGACCGGATCCAGAGAGGAGGACAAACCTGCAACATAACATTCTTCACGTGTTGGTGAAAGTGAACCCGGACATCAGTGTTCAACCTAAAGGAGCAAGGACTAACACATCAGGACAGCTTCAACATGAAATGTAAAGAATGCCAGCTATTCCAGCTCTGAGCGGAGATAATTACACGTCTCGTCTTCTGAGGTCCTCCCTGAGGTCATTGTCTCATATAATCAACCCGTGAAAAGAGCCACTTACCATATAGATTGCAGAGGCACGTTTGAGCCCTCATGCACCCATGGCTGTGTGTCATCTGAGAGGTGGGCAGTGCTCACTCTGTGTGAACCCATAGGTGCTCAACCTGTTAAACTTGTCAGGCAAAACAAGGTTGCAAAGTTGACGCAATCTCAATTAGTTGTTAGGTGATTTAGATTGCACAAAGATGCATCTGTTAATTGTTTTTCATTAAGATGATGATGAGGATGATCATTATTAATTTTATGACCCAATATTTTGGTTGAAAATGAAGAATATCTTGATAATTTTTTCAAGCCTCTTTAAATCTTTTTTATTTGTCTTTTGTAGAGAACACAAAAACACACATTGTTCCATGCTGGCATCATAGCGTCTGAGCTTTTTAAAGCTCCTGTGAGGAGTTTTTAACTGGTAATAAAAGAGACTGAAGTTAGTAATGATGCCTCTTTATGATTTACAATAGCAATCAGAGAGATTGACTGACTGACTGACTGTTTCTATATAGGAAATTTGAACACCTGTTGCTGTCCCAGGTTTTTTTACAGTTTCCAAAGCAAAGTTTCATAACGATACAACTGTTAAAAGAAAGCAATATATGATTGAAGGGGCACAAAAGTTCCTCACAGCTTTAAAGATGTGAAAATATCTAAATGCTGTGTAAACATTTTTTGCATAAGCACCTTAATTTCCCTGTTATACTAAATGTAGGCCTATTATAGTTACAAAACAGTTTTTGAAGAGGAAGTTGTAAAAATGTGAAGCTATATTGCTTAAAAAAAGCTTTAAAATTCTCAGTCATCAGAATAGTTAGAAACTGTTTCGCCTGTTGACCAATCAATGAATCAATGATTCAATACAGAAGTTTGCCACAGCTTGAAATGTTGTTGAAGTCTATTAAAATCTGAGCAGTGTCTACTGATGAACCATTTGAATGTCACACTGCTCCATGCTCACACTTTTAACAGCTTCCTTTTGGGAAATAATGAGATCAGTATACAGGCGTGTGTGAATCCTCAGCGTGGAGTACAGACTACAGCCTGAGAAAAGGTTAATGTGTCTGTTCTGCTCTCATTAAAGGGCCCGACTCTACATTTCTATCTGTAACACCCAAGCTCTTACACACCCAACAGGAGAGAAGTGCCCTTCCTCACTGAGCTACTTCAGAGTGCTTCTTGTTCCTTCTGAAAAAAGACAGATGTACCTACACGCTGGCAGTGACAGGAACGGTTTTACGTTCAAAGAAGCAGGTGAAGGTTTCATCTATAGAGCGTTCCACCAACCGCTGACGTCTAATGGACCGCCTGGAAAAACAAGACTCAGAAACAAGTGTGAACAAAAGCTCTGCAGGAGGTTTTCATGCACCTCCAGGTTTGTTTCTCGTACAGTGTCTGTATCGACTCTCTGCACACATGTTCCCTCGTTACATCAGGAGCGTCATAGAGTTCATTTTCTTCCCCACTTTTATTGTTGCCATGCATTTTTCTCCTTCCAGTCAACCCGCTTCCACGCAACTTCTGTTGCCTTGGTGACATCTCATATCCTGACATATAAATCAATCTAACCTCAGTGACCACTTCTCCAATTTCCCTCCTCTATATCCTTCTTTCCTCAAACCTCTCGTGTCCGTTAGAGATCAAAGGGTTGGTTCGCTCCTCGGGACAGCCAGCTTGCTGCGGGGTCAGTGAGGGCTCTGACTCAATGAAACCATCAGGAGCCTGAAGAAGCCAAACTACCTCAGGTTGCAACACCGGGTTCAGATCCAGTATTTCTGTTTTAACCTGCAGTTTGAGAAAAGGGTTTTCCTTTTCCAGACAAAGACACTGTGCAAAGTAAACCAGTTACCAAAGACAGAGAAGCAATCATCTAAATGCCAGAACCATTTTCAGGGGCTTGCTTGTTCTGGTCTGCTGAACTGGCATTTTGGATCAGACACAGCAGGGCAAGGTCACACCTGTTGATGCAGGAAACAGATTTAATGCAGTCTAGAGCAAAAATCACTTTATCTCTGCTCAGTCGGACTGATAGTTGATTTGAGTGTTGTTAAAAGGTTGAAAATTAAAGCATTAATTGCCAAAAAGGAATTATTACACACCTAGAGGCCAGCTGAAAGCTGAAACTATCTTCCTTTATAATAGTCTGCTTTTTTGTTGGGTAAAACCTCTCTTATTGTAGTTTACATATTAGTATTTCTTGTTTTCACGCAGAGGGGTCAGCTCGGCTGTAAAGATCAAAAAGCATGTTGCTTTTTGGAGCAGCATATAATAGTGCAGAATTTGAGATTTACCTTCAGTCTACTAACACTTGTCATCACTTACTGAAACTCTGGAACAGATCAATGGAAACTTTGGTATCTTACACAGCACCATACTTCTCTTGTCTTCTGTGTATTTCAAAGGAATAGTAGCTCCCCCAACTGGAGAACACATGCAGGGGCATATTTTGGGCTTCAGCTCGTCGTCCTGGTAGAGTCACTGAAGTTTGAGATGAGAAAACAGACCAACACACTTTAGTAGACTTGTATATTGAAAGAATCAAACTGTAAAACTACACTTTTATCAGTGACTTTTTGGACTCTTAACTCTTTAATCTTTGTGGTCACTTCAAGTTATTTAAAACCACTGACACAGCTCAAATGTAACAAGAAACATACAATGCTGACCTCTAGAGGCATGACGCAGTAGCAAAAGTAATCCTTACACAAAGCATGCAGTTTGGTGCAGGGGTTCATATGAGAAGAGCATTAAAAGAAAACATTTAAGGCCTGCACCACCCCCAAATTAAGGTTAGCTGCAGGGAACAGATCTTATCACACTCACTGCTCACACGATTTATATGTGCACAAGCGATCTCAAATCTACCATAAATGAGGGATTTTATCTGTAAGAGTGAAAGATTAAACATACAAGAGAGCCAGAGCTCTTTTGTACCCACTTTATTGCTAGAATTTATCCAAGTTATTGCTCTACAGTATTTGGAAAGTTATCACGGCAAGATCAAGCAGCGTCTTTCCTCAGTTTTCATGCAGGATCCTCAAAACATCTGAAAGAATGGACATAGTGATTTTTTATTTGAAAAAAAAACAACCTTTTTTTCTAAACAAATCAGATCTTGTAAAATAGAAAAAAATCTCTAAGTGGAATAAAGCACCTCGTTCTTCTCCAGTGAAGCTGCACAAAGAAAGGAAACATTTTGGAGAGAAGGTTTCAGGGATAAGAGCAATCATTTTTAAAGAATATTTATTACCATGCAAAATAATTCAAGTTACTTTTCTCCACAGAAAACAAACCTGGATGATATTAGGCTTGTTAAAAGGATGATTTGAGTGTTCTGGTATCAGTAAAGATGCTTTCAGCAAGATGTGTCAGCTCTAATGTTACATGATGCAACACAATATAACCTGTTCCATCCATAGACTGTAAAAATATGTGATGAATAAGTCATCTAAAAACATGGTTATTGGATTTTTCCAATTAGAAAAAATGAATTCGGTTATACTTTCATGTGTTATTGGTTGCAGTTAAATAATTTGCCGAGAGTAATAGTAAACTGGGAGGATTAATGTGAAAGGGTTTATGTTGAACAAAACAAAATGATGCACAAAGTGTCCTCACTGAGTGTCTGACTTTTAAGGCATTAAGATGAGGGGAGCGTTTTTATATTACAGCGCCTGTATCAGTGAATATTAACACTGGCCGTTCTTGAATGCGCTTCATCCCACAGACTGCATGCTTGCTGTGTGAACACCAAAGCTTTTTTTATTTGTGGTCATGACTAAAAAAGGATGAGAACCACTGGTTCAGATAATGATGTGATCAATAAGGAAACATTCAAACCAGCAGACCTCAGGCACTAAAGTAGAGGTGTTAAGTCTTATAATGAAACCGCCTGAGTTAAACTTAGTCACCACTGTTCTTAAAATGCTCTGATGCAGACCTCTTCAGTGTGTTAATACATGAGGTTTATTCTTTGATAAGTTTGAACAATTTTGATCTTGTTCACAGCACGTTGAAAAAGTAGAGAAGATTTTCATGCAAAGCAGGGCCAAATTTACCAATAAGGCTTTATCAGAGCATGGCAAAAAAATATACAAAAATGTCTTACCAAGTGTCCATAAGACTTGACATTCCCTTGAGGGAAAAATAGAGCAGAAGACAAGAAAAAAGAAACCATGTCTATTTAGTTAGTTGGTCTATTTAGCTGGATTATTAGTTGTAAACGATGAAAGCATCAGGAAATCCTTTAAAGTCTCCACCACCCGCTTAAGTCTAGCCGGGTGACTAGTGCGTAAACATCTTATGTACTCTCCTCTGAACAGTTTCACTTAAATGTTGGGGAAAAAACATCAAGTCAAAATGAGGAAAAAGCCACGCGTCTTACCTCTCAGAGAAAGCCCCGAGTTTCATTATGTCAATCACTGTGGCTGTTCCAGTGTCTTCAAGAGAACACAGAAACCAATGAGGCCTTCAAAACTCTCTAATTCAATCCTTCACCCTCCGAGCTTATGTAAAGTACTGACAATGTCTAATAAAGATCTTTATTTCAGATTTTAAATAGATTTACAAACCATAAGAAAAAAAAAAGAAAATATAAACAAGAAGAAAAAAAAACATCAAGTGATCGTCAAATATCCACATGTGCATATTAAGGTAGAGATTGTAAACAGTCCTTTGATGCCGAAAAGTGAGACTCCCAGGGTTAAGGTTCACTCTGCTGGAAAAAAAAAAAAAAAAAAAGATGCTTGTTTGTTGGTTGATGTTTAATTTTTTTCCTGAGGTTCTTGTAGCTTTCTGTAGTTTTCTGCTGGGGGTTTCCCTCTCAGTGATGCTTCCACCAATCAGAGCGCAGAAAACAGGAGGAACAAGTGGGGTGGAAAGACACTTTTTTTTTTTTTTTTTTTTTTTTTTAACATTACTATGACACAAAACAAATCCCAGTCACCCTAAAACATCAAAAAAAAATTGGGAGGGGGGCATTCATAGGCTGCATTATGTATATCAGTCAATTAGTGGGTATTGATTAATCTTTAAAGAGCATTAAGGGCTTTAGAAAGGCTAAATTACTGTATGGCGTGCTGTGTACATTTTCTACTTTTTTGATAAATTTGATTTTTCATGAACAATCCTGGGTTTTCACAATCAGATCAATATTGGTAGCACTTAATACAAATAAGATAGAAAACAATTTAGCTCACACCACAATTTGGAAATAAAAGTTATATCAAAGCATAAGAAAGAAAAGGAAAAAAAAAAGGACAACCCTCAGCCCTTAATGCAACAGTTTAGATAAAATTAAGAAGAGAACCTTTCTCCTTGGACACAATCCCGACCCTTATAGCAGTTCTAAAACCACAAACACATCATAACAGCATGCTAGTTAAGAACCATAGTCTCCTGTTCATGCTCCAAGGTCAACCCTAGCCCCATGCCTTCCCATTTATGCAATTCTTCTCAACACTTTGTAGCACATCTTATCAACAATCAGCGAATATTCATGGTTAACACAGAAATATTGCTGGATGGTGATATAGAGAGCCTTTCAAATGGGATCCACTGAAAACAACACCCCTTCAGTGGGCCATTCCCATAGGTCTCAATCACTCACACTGCTACCTCTTCTACTCTGAAGTAACAGGGTTCATTTATACAGGTGAGAGTCAAGATGGCTGCAACCCAGTCAAGCATTTCATAGAGGGGGAATTAAAATGTGTGTACACACAGCTACTGCTAGGGGGCGAACTTTCCCAGAGGCTAGTGAACAATCTCAACCTTGTTTTCTTCTGCTCTGGGGGACTTGAGCTACTCTGAGTTAGAATAAAGAAAACAACCAGAAAGCAAAAAAAAGACCGATACAACTCCACAGATCTATCCCTAGCTGAGGACAAAGTCAGTCCAAAGTGCTCACAGGAACGTCGCTGGCTTTGAAAACTCAAGCTTGAGTTCTGGTCAAACTGTTGAAAGGCTCAGCTTTACTGCCATGTTTAAAGCACTGCATATTAAGTAGGCTCAAGCACTGACTGCATAGTTTTTTTTGTTGATACAGTACATTGGATTTCATGAGGAACAGCAGGCTCTGCTAGCTGTTTCTTAATGCATCCAGGCCATGAGTAGCACGTGCTTGTATGACGAAGGCTGCATGGCGGGCAGTGGAGGACATTTGTGGGTTTCTGATCTGTATTCCATTCTTTAGTTCAGCTGTTGGATCTCACCTTTCTCGCTCCAACCACCTCCCCAACAAATCTGACAGGTGCTGCTATAAATAACTTGAAACTTATTCCATCAGTAGGGCGCAGTTTGCACGGTACCCCCACCTGGGACCATGTGAGCCTGAAATATCTCCCGCCATGTGCACAGTCTGTCCCACCAGTCATTCAGATCTGTGATATATCAGGGAGAGAGGGAAGGCACAAGGGAATGTGAACAGCTTTTTCTGAAATGGATAACTTCCCTGTTCCCTGGAGCAGCACAAGCCCCTAAAGGCTCAAAGGATAAAAGGTGGAGGGTTTGCAGAGCTTCAACTTAGCCTGCTAACCAGAAGTCACACACATGGCTCAGAGAAGTGATGCTTTTTAAAAAAAAAAAAACACAAACTACACGGCAACTCTACTGCTTTGCAAATGCTCTCTACTTGTTTGACTCTGATCTGATCTGACCTGGGACGTTACATCCCACTCTGCTGATGTTGAAGTCCAGACAAGGCGCGACTCGGCCATCAGATTGGCTTGTTCAGCTCAATGTTTACGGAAGAATAAGGTTTTAGAAATTCAAACAAGTCAGCAGTTAAACAAGTTGTGCTCCTGTGTGTGTAACCTCTACGCGGACAAGAAATTAAAAAAATAAACATTTAAGAAACAAACAAAAGACTCTGTAGCTTTCTTTCTTGGATGCATCAGGTTTTAGTGTGCATACTGTGACTGCCCCTGTGGCAGAAGGTGGACAGGGGGACAGTGCTAAGGTGGAACTGAGGAGGAAAAGGGGAATAAACTTCAGTTCATAAAAAGAGAAGGAGGATGGGGGGAGTTGGGGGGCATCACAGACAGGCAGGCAAGGTCAGGAGTCTTCTGTGCCTGAGTCGTCCTCGTCATAGCAACAGTCCTCGTTATCCTCCTCGTCATCATCATCATCCAGTTCCTCATCATCATAGTAGTCATCGTATAAAAGATTGGAGCCGTCGTCTGTGGGCGGGACTTGGGTGCGGACGCAGTACTCATCCAGCGTGATGGGAACCTTGACGCCGTCCCGATCTGCGTCAGCTTTGGTAGCAAGCACCTGCTTCCTGCGAGGGGGACATGGAGCAGATAGAGGACAGAAAACAGTCAGAAGAGGCCACAAAGCTTTAGTGCTTGTACTGTTTGCACCTACTACACCAACCAGTTCACATGTGAGGTGTAAGGGGAGCTGCTGTATTTGTGGGTGTGAAGTTTTCTCCTGTCTACCTGATGATCTCGATGTATTCTCTGTCCTTGCCCTTGCTGTCCCTCCACTTGCGGTACATAACCGAGGCGTCCACATTGGCCGGGGAGAAGGTGTTGGGCTCGTTCAGGAGGGAGATCACACTGAGCAGGATGGTCCTGAGAAAGCATAGAGACATTAGAATACATGAGAAGGAGGAGATGGAAAAAGAGGAAGAGCGAGGAGTGGAATGGAAGACGGAGGTAAGTTGAGAACAGACAAATTGAAAGCGCAGGAACAAAGAGTTGTACAGAGATAGAAAGAAAGAGAGAGAGAGAAAGGGAAAAGTCTATTTGTCTCTCCAAAAGACACTCATAAATACGGACAATAGTGTTATACAATGTTCATACTTAAATGACTGAGGGGAAACAACTAGTTGCACTGACTCTCTGTTTACAGACTAAATGTTGAGACTGTTTTGGATTTTTCTTTAGTGATCAGCAGCAGTTCAGGGCTACAGGGGGATCCTTACAGTAATATCCAGCTGTGAGAGATTGTGTCAGTACATAATGCATGAAAGAAAACACCGTGGACACACATAGTGGGAGAAGCAATTGAAAACAGCAGGTGTTCAATAAATACATCTGTGTTGGGTGATTAAATGAATTAAAGCAAGATGAATAAAACATCATGTTTGGGTGTACAACGACTGCTACTCAAGGATACGATAAAATCTGACATCAAAATAAAAAGAGTGATAAACTCTAGTTGGAAATATTATGTGACTTAAAGGTTAATCAGTTTTGATTCTGGTACTACAGATTTAAAAAAAAAAAAAAAAAAAAAACATTATCTAGAGGAATAAATTGGTCCCTCTCCTCATCTATAACACGGATGTTCAAGAACAGCTAATGCCCTCAGAAAAATGAGTGCACACATACTTTAGAAAACATTACAGGAAGGTAAGAGCAGCAGTTTCTAGTCTTTGTGTGCCACCCATCAAGTGGCAAACAGCTGCTAGTAAATCTAACTATGCTACTATTACTTCAACAAATTACATATAATTACAGATTTGCAACAAATATATAGACTGTTACAAGAAACATTTAGTCTGTAATTACCAAACGAACAATTAGGCTAAGGAGTAAACGTGAGCAGTAAAAGAAGGGTAGCTTAGTTATTATCATGCTAAGGTGCAAAGCTACTAGAAATAAGCCCAATTGACCAGTTAAGACGGCAAAGGGCAATGTTTTTGGTTGAGACAGTGTAAACATTTAAATAATGATTTGAAGAAAAAATAAAATCACAAATTTACAGTTTGACATCAAGATCAATGACTGGAAAGAGTGAAGCTGTCTGGTAGCTTCTTCAATTGAAGGGTGCCTCTGTTAGCCGATTGACACAGTAATGCAGCTTGTCATTTTGTGCGTGTTGTTCATGAAAAAAATAACCTGACATGAACTTAGAAACACAGTGTTGGTTACCTGACGTTCTGTGTGGGGTTCCACCTCTCTGAAGGCAACTCCCCACTCTGTGGGTCATCCACTGGAGGGTGCAGAATCGAGATGCAAACATCTCCGTTCTGGGGACACAAGTGAACACACCATGTCAAAACACAGTTGAGCTCTAACTAGTTAAATGATTCAAATAGTAGGATTCATCTTTATCAGTTGGTTCTAAAGTGTCCATACATTATAAATCATGTAGCCATATCACAAAGATCTAGTGTTTCCCCTTCTATTAGCAGCACACTTTATAAACAACAACTATTTGGCACTGCTTTATGTTGTGTCCAAGCATTGATACAAACATAGTTACCTCATAAATGTTGGGGTGCCACATTTTGGTGAGGAAGCGGAAAGCAGGTGGAGAGTATGGGTAGTCGACTGGGAACTTGATGCGAGCCTGCAGAGCAAGAGGAGACATATATCAGCAACGTGAGCAGCAGGCAGTTCATTCACACTTCTCCATTCCCAACAGACAAGTCATGACTTCTTCCCTCAAAGCTATGACTGATTGGAGAAACTGTTCGCAAAGCGTTGCTGTCTCTTATGTGCAAAGAGGCACACTAAAAGGTGTGGTTGTAGTAGCTATAGTTAGTGTGACGCACAAAGTTGTAGCCCCTTAGTAGTGTTGAATGCTAAAAGAAAACTTAGCCACACATAATTTGGCTAAAAACTACTCTGCTGGTTGACACAGTCTCCCAAGGGTAACTGAATCCAGACATGCATGTCTGTACAATGCCACAGAAGCTACACACACAGAGGATACACACAGGCACACACACACAGAGGACACACACAGGGACACACACAGGGACACACACAGGCGCGCACACACACAGAGGATACACACAGGGACACACACAGGGACACACACAGGGACACACACAGGGACACACAGGCGCACACACACAGGCACACACACAGGGACAGCTACTAGGCAGCTATAAGCATCATTTTGCATGTTTTTCTACAAGTTTGCAGCACTGTTGTCAACACGTGGCTGCTGTATCAAGATCCATATAATCATGCTGGTCGGCTTCAATGGGGACTGAAAGACACCTAAAAATAGCCGCTGTAGAGTCATGGCAAACTCTTCTGAGGTGGCTGAGCATGGAGGAGCAAATGACAGTGTAATGTAATATAGCGTGGAGGGAAGGAGACCTTGCAGTGCATTCAGCTGCTCAGTGTGTGGAGCTTTAGAGAAACACCGATGGGTGAGGGGAGCTGCTGCTTATAAGACATTGTGGGGGTTTGTCTGCTCCAGCTGTCACTGCAACCCAAGACAATCCACTACTCACACCCCTGCTCTGCTATTATATCAACTCAAACTGAAACCACACCCTCCCGCACTCACACAAACTGTATAAATCCTGCTATGTGTGGAGGACCCCTCCTCCTGTTCCAGAAGGAGTGCTATGGGAGGGATGGGACACACACACACACACACACACCGACTACACTGATTATACACACGCACATCACTCACAGCATGAGACCTTATGCTGATCCCCCCCCTGTCATACACACACATACACACTCGCACACATTTGCTGATTCGGCATGGTCAGCTGGTCCTCGCCACAGAAAAGCAGGAGGCAGAGGGGGCCGGGGGGAGATTGGTTGTATGAGAGCAGGGAGGAGGTGCAGTTGGAGTGGGGGGATGTCCCTTAGAATAAAGGGGGTTTTGCTCCATATAATAACTCTGCTCCATATTAGCATCTTAACCCCCTTTTGCTTGCAGTGTAGCATTAACAACAGGCTGCACATAGTAGACACATGCTGCGTATAAATGCTACAGGAAGTTACAGTCAACAAATTTGCTTTCGTCAACAAGTCTGCTAGAAGTGCACTTCAACATCTGGTTTGTGTGTGTAAGTAATGTCCTCAACTACAGTACAAGAGCAACACTCATCGTATTAGGTGTTTTAACTGCTGCTGGTTTCACAACTAGAAAAGGACTGAAGCTGCCGTCACCAGACTGGACAGGAAACACTGACACAGTCCTGGGAGAATGCAGCTTGCAGGAAAAAACACCCAAAATCCCAGGGTCCGAGTGACCCTGTCAGAGAGCTGGCAGCCCTTCAGAGTGCAGGGTTCACGCCAACATTGCACACATTACAAGCTGGCAAGAGTGCGACACATAGCAGCCAGCTAGGAGAAAGAGGTGGGGAGGCAGCAACAGTGAGAGCTCGGTTTGTCTTCACAAACAATAAACATCAAGATAATATCTGCCCACTTGCTCTGAACGAGGCAGAAAAATAATCTGATTTGTTAGATTTGGGAAAAGTCTTGACTGTCAAATATTGGTTTTCATTTACTATGTTATGCTCGCCTCTTTGTTGACCCCAATAAGGTGAGCAGACAACTACAGCACATGGCAGTGGGGGCGTTTTTTAAACAAACCAATTCAGAAAATATGTGGTCTGATTCAACAGGGAAGATGTTGTAAAAAAAAAAAAGAAGAAGATGACTAGACGGTTTTTCGACTGAAAGACACGCCAACACCTCCAGTGTGAAAAGTGATTTATGTTAGTTTTTCAAGTACCCAATAAAACAATGTGTGGAACAGTTCTTACAACAGCCTGTGACTTCTAAGAAGACATCTTTCATTCACAGGCAAACACCAACATAACCAAGAACTGTTTATACACACACATTCACACAATCAAAGGAAACATAGCCTTCGAATGCCAACTGGAACAACCACAGTCTTCAATTGAAGCAGTAAAATATTGCCAACTTCTTAGAATTGCTTTTTTAATAATTGAATTAAAAAAAAAAAAAAAGGCGAGACCTATGCATCAACATTTCTCATTCTATGGCTTCATTCATCACAATCCTGGGAATGCAAGCCCTTTACAAGTAAAGCAGGGATGTGGGGATATGCATTAAGGGTAAGTATGAGCATTGATCCCTGTAAGAAGGTAAGAGCATGATTTCACAATACAGCTTACCAGGAGGCTTTAAATCACAATGCCACCAACTGTATGGTAACACGAGCGATGGATACAGTTGCATTTGGAGCTCAATGATGCATCAAAATAAAATGTTTAAAGACAGGAGGATGGAGAACAATGGAAAGATGAATGCTGCATGTGGGTTTAGCAGTAACAAAGCCTTTCGCCAGACCAGAAGATGTGAGTTTACCCTGGAAGCTGAAGGGTGGGGGGGGGTGGGTGGAAAGTGTTGTTGACCTGCCCACACAGGTGACACTGAACCCTAGATTGATGGAGGGAGGAAGAGTGGATGGGGGTAGAGAAGTGTGACGGAGCTGGACTAAACAAAGACAGGCTGCTTAGTTTGTTTGTTTGCTCTGCAGAAGCAGGGAGCTCTTCTCCCATCTCATCAGCAACGAACTGACAGCAGAGGAGAAACACGCTGGGAGGAGGATGCAGCAAGCTCTTATAAAGTCAATATTAGCTTTTTTTTCCCCTTTGAGTAGCCAGAGCTTCTCCTCATGTTTGGAGCATGGCTGAATAGATCTCTATTCCTGTCCTTACTCACATATTAGCCCTCTTAGTAAGAAAAGACGCCTTACTTCAGATAAAACATATTTTCCCTCGCTAAGTGCTGATAGCCTCAGCACAGTTGTCGAAACATCTTACTGCTGACTTGCATGTCATGCTTCATAATTGGATTGAGCACAGAATTAACTGCATCCACGGTCAAAAGGTGATTCACTCTGGGCGGCTCATTTGAGGGCTGTTAGACATGAAGTGCAGCCAGATTTCCATCATGCAAAAAAAAAAAAAAAAAAAAAAAAAAAAAGAAGGCAGCAGGCCTGTTACAGAGAATATTGAATAAAAATGTTTCTTGAAAATCTTTCTCGGCTTGTGAGCTAACAATCTGCCTTAAAGAGAGAACAGGAATGAGTGTGAACACGCCCACCCGCTGGTAGATGACAGCAGGGCGAAGTAAACCAGGTCAATGTGAAGACCCTGAACAGAACAAATCATCCTGTTCTCCCTGAGCACCTCTTTACCTTCTCTCCAGACCTTACACACACACACACACACACACACGCTTATCATGTTCAACAGGAACCCCTTGCCTCGTTAACTGAACTAAGGAGGAGGGTGTTGATGAGGACGACAAAGTAAAAGATAAAATCTTAAAATGTGCTACAATCTAATCAAAAGTTAATCACAACACAAGGAAGTATCAACCATGCAGCCTGCAGAGCTATTATTCTGAAGTACAATTATCATGTTGATGGCCCATACAGGAAGAAAAAAAGAACACATGGCCAGAGCTTCAGGGGACAGTTATACACGTATACAGGGGCCTCACGCTCACTTATATTAACTGCAGGCTCTCCTTTCAAAGAGGCACCACTGCATGAGGGAAGGCTTCTGCCTGCTCTTGATCTGTTTCTGTGCTTCTTTCCTCTGCCCTGCTCTCATTTCTCTGTGACACAGCCAGAGGCGGAGAAACATGACTCCAGCAGCTTAACCAGACCCGGCCCCTGTCAAGCCCCTCTGCAGCTGGGTTGGGTCCTCTAGCCTGCTGTACCCTTCTCCCCTCCACTGCCGAGGAAGGAAGAAAGAAAGGAAGGAAGGCACAAAACACAGAGTCAGCTGCTCAACAGAACTAGACAGACAGACAAGCCCGGGCCAAAACCAAAAGTCAACACCCCTCTTTTCTTTTTAAATCATGGTTGCTGTGAAGAAAAAGGTCTGTCAGGGTTAAGTGAGCCACTCTGGGAAAATCACATAATTGAGATTTGAAAGATGTGTTGTTTCTCAGAATATTTTCAGCTGCAAAGATCCAATTTATAGTATAATTACATGCAACAGAAATGACAGTTATAGCTGCCACAGCAGCAATTTAAACACGGCTCTCCTTCCTTTTCCCCACATCTCAGGATCTGTGCAGTGTACTATATATGCAGGCGCAGCTCTGTCAATACAAACAGAAAATAGTTCCTGTTGCAAACCAAGACCACAAACTTCTCTATGAAGAACATCCACATGCCGTCACGTTGTAGAGAAAGAGCGCAGCACATTTTTCTGCCATTCTGTTGCATGACACAGAATGGAGCAGGAAGAGGTCAACGCTGCTTAGTGTGAGCAAACAAGACTCTGGTGTCACCGGAAAAAGTGATGTGGTACTTTGTTGTTAAGTTTCTATGTACATCCTCGTGGATTTGTTAGCTTGTAAGCAAGAAAAATGCAGAGCTGAGAAAACATGGTGGGGGGGGGGTTGTGCTAAATGTTACTTTCACATATGGATGCTATAGCAATGTTCCTTCCATTATCTATTCAAACTTTGATTAAAAAAAATACAAGACTTTACCCAAAGCTGAAAATCTTATGAGCAAAACTATACCAGAGGTTTAATTATGCTGTACTTCTGTGCCATGTGAGATAAAGCCTACTGGTTGATCCTTTCCAAGAGGGGGCCTCTTGGAAAGTACAGTAATTACTTAAAGCTTGAGAAGGGAGTTCTTGGGAAGTGAAAATAACAGTTTAAGATGGGTTATGCGAACTAATGCAGTGACCCAAAACACTTTCAACGAATACTACTTCCTTCAGAAATGTCAATGTAGATAACTATATTACATGAGAAAACTGCGAGCACATTTAAATTGTTAGATACAAACCTTAAGAGTGGCTGGAGGGCCAAATTCAAAACCAAGCGCCCCTCAGAAAATTTCAGCATTTTTGAGAGGCTGGAACATCCCAAAATGAAAAAAAAGCAGGGGACTGTGATTACTTTGTTCAATATTATTAGCTCTTACATTGAATACAGCAACTACCTTTTTAAGGTTGTAGTGAAAAGAGAAGCGGTGTGATTGTATTCTTTCACAAAACATAATCGTCATACTTTTTGGTTTGATGAGACTTACTCAAGGTCAAGGTACCACAAGTAAAGAAGACTGAGATCTTCAAGAGAGAGCGAAAAATGAACTGAGACAATAAAGGATGTAATTGACAATCTTTCTATAGCTTTTGTTTTATACTTTTAGTGTGTCCATTACAATGTTTTCATGTTCAAGCCTCACATTATCACTGAATTTGACAACATAAATCAGACATTTTTAGAGCATTAAGGATGAATGGATTAGTCTTTAAATATTAATTCATTGGTCTGAGTTGTTTTTTTTTCTCCAAACAGAAATTAAACTAACTTTTTTTTCTGCTTTTCTTGATGCCCTCTGACATGAACCTAATTATCTGTAGTTTATGGTCAAAACAAGAGTCCTCTTGGGCTTTGGGAAACAGTGATTGACCTTTTGATGGACAAAAAACTGTATTAGTTAAGCAAGAACTGCATCAACTATGAAAATAATTGTTAGATCATCACTGTATCAACATTCAGACTACATGTGTACTCTCTCTCTCTCTCTCTCTCTCTCTCTCTCTCTCTCTCTCTCTCTCTCTCTCTCTCTCTCTCTCTCTCTCTCTCTCTCTCTCTCTCTCTCTCTCTCTCTCTCTCTCTCTCTCTCTCTCTCTCTCTCTCTCTCTCTCTCTCTCTCTCTCTCTCTCTCTCTCTCTCTCTCTCTCTCTGTGATCATCAGGCACTCATTGCCTGCAGTGATACTTCACATGACGGAGCGGAAGGCTCAAAACAAAGAACCGCAAGTTTTGAAATGTCTCAGAAACAGTGGATTGACTATTGTGAACCCTCCAGGACAACGATCAGTACATTATGATAGAAGTAAGAGTATGAGTACTAATCCACAGACTTTGAAAGAAATGTAACGATGTTTGAATGACGTTTCAATATGTCTCTGTCCACTGTGTGTCAGCAGTCATGACTTATTCGTCATGGTGTGACTCTTGGGGAGCAACACCCATGAGAAATAAATACCTGACTCAGCCTGGTTTCATGAGACATCATGACCTTCCCTGTTTTGACGGAGCAGGTGGCAGGAGCAGGTGGCAGCAGCATGTCACAACTATGTGTTTTTTTGGGTTACCTGGTCAGGAAAGGGTGGGTATTTTTTACCTTTTTTTTTTTTTAATAAGGCAAACTGGTTGGATGGAAACCCAGAACAGAACAATGAGTCACAACCATGTGGTAGATTTCACAGGCAGGCTGTGCATTCCTAGCCCGACAAAGGAATCCTGAACGCAGCAGAGCACCCACACAGACACACTGCCTGAACACTGTCTGGTAGCCTGGTTGAGGCCCTCTGCTTGTGTTCACAGGCTTGAAAAAGACCAGAGGCAAAAAAAAAAAAAAAAACTGAGCATGCTTTCTCAAGAACAGGATTCACAAAGCAAAGTAGCACAGAAGAGATATGTGTTGGAATATCTGAGATTTTCTGACAACAAACTGAGCCTCTACTGATATACAACAAGCTACCTCCAATAACAACACTTTGGCTAATGCCGAACTTAACGCTACAAAAAAGCAACACCTTCTCAAGGACATTATTTACAAAATGTATGTTGATTTATTTTGTTTTGCCTTAAAATAAATGTAAATCTTTTCCATTGAAATTCATTTTTATGTTTGATGTAAAATGTATTTAAATGTAGGTCAAGTTTGAAGAATATTAATATTTGCAGACAAATAATACATCAATAGAAAACCTGACTTCCCTTGAGTGTCCTGCAATATCTATTGTGGATTTTCACTCCCTTAGTTAGATTTGAGACTAAAAAAACAAAAAAGGCATACTGCTATGGCACAAATGTAGGCCTAATCTAAATTTAAAACAGAATTTAGCTTTGAAGTGAGACTCCAGGTGAATATGGAAATCAGGTACTGTAGCTGAAACTTCAAGGCCAAAACTTGAGCAAACAACAAATAGTTGACAGAACAGGGATCAATGTCATGATGCCACGGAAATAAATGTAGGGCTGTCATTTCTTAAAAAAAGTCAAAAGAGCCTTAGGTTTGTGTCAACAGAGATATTTCAGTAGTTTTCTAACTTGGTGGAGACTGCCAACCCTCTTTGTCAATAACAAAGTCAAAAACAGGAACTACACATCTGAAGAAACCAACACATCTTCACTCTCAAGGGAGGAAGTGTGCTAGAAAAACATTTAAAAGGTCCATCTGTTACCACGAGTTAAAATAAAAAATAAAAGAAATTAGAATAAAGGAAGACTGGGGCTGTCTTTATTTCACAAGAAAGGTAACCATGCATTAAGGATTGGCTGACTTAAGTGAATTTGAATATGAAACCAAAAAAAGAAAAAAGAGTATTCAACTTCAAGCTATTGTAATTGATTGAACTAGTTAGCAATAGCTGAAGAGTTTTGCTAATCACTATAAAGGTAAGAGCTTGAGTGGAGCTAAAAAAAAAAAAGAAAAAACCTTTGTTAGGACAAAAAGAACAACTCTGTCAGACGTGATCCTGGACATTATGAGGGAGCCCAATGGAGCTCCATTTTAACAAATTAACAAAAACAAACAAACATAAGTACAGGTGGCTACTAGCTGGCAACAACACAATGAACTAACACTTAATGAGTTGAGTTAGTTTAAAGTTGAACAAAGACCTTTTTTAATTTAACACAGCAGCGTTAAACAAGGAGGCTAAGTTAACATGAATAACTGAGACCTGCTGTTGGAGGCTAATGTTAAATGTTGGACTGTCCTCTAGGAGTAAATTACACAAATGTGGGCTTTAATCTACCGGCTACAGAACAATAGATCGACTGCTTGCTAACATTAGCTACTTACCTTAAAATAACCCCCCTCGTAGTGTGTATTCGGGGGTCCGAATATCGCCACTTCCCAGTTGTACATGTCCGACTCGTCCACCAAAGTTATTTTGAACCCTTCGACCGGCTCGTCCTGGAGACTTTTCATCTCTAACATCAGTGCTTTTTGGGAACTGGCTACATGATGTCCATGCTGAGCCATATTCCACTAGGATATGTTTAAATATACAGAGCGGACCTACCACAGCCGTGACAAAGCTACTAGCTCGGTAACAAAACAACAGCGATCGGTGAAGCGACGCGGTGACGTTAGTTTCCGTTAGCGTGGTTTCAAACAGGATACAAAAAAAAAAATCGCGACTTTGTTTTATTTGGTCACTGAGCTCGAGCGGCTTCCTCTGTTGTTGTGAACAATCCCGGGCAGCCCCAGGTATTAACTCCCCATGTAAACCTACTCTTATCAAGTCACACGTCACACCAGCTGCTTCCTGCCTACGCTTTTCAAAATAAAACCGCAATGTATCATTTTTGGAACCCTTTTTTAACTAATAAATCTATATCTCACATTAATGAGATTTTTAGTGTGTGTATATTTTATTTCAAACTGAATACATATCGCTGGTTATTTTTATTTTTTATTTTTAGCTCCGCATGTAACCCCTAAGTTTATATTACAGCTGTGAATTAACTTACTGTCGAAATACAAGCGTGTTAAAATCATCATCAACCTTTGTTTAAGTGAGGGCGACCCTCATTTACAATGATGCCGAGAAAACATACATAAATGATAAACAACGAGAAATAAGATAAAGCTACTACAGAAAATAAAATCAATAAAAGAGCAATAATAACAATAAAATATATACAGTAAAATAATTTTAAAAGCTTGAAATTACTACAGTGATAAGTCGGCAATTAAAATAAAATAAAACAGTTACAGTCAGGTGTTGGGCGGTTAAAATAATATTTCTAAAGTGTCCATAAGGGATAAAAGTGCTCAAATTCAGGTCCTGTTGTAAAATGTTCCAGGAGTTTGCAGCACTAACACTAAAAAACAGTTTTCCCCAGGTCAGTCCTGGGGAACAAAATATCTAATGACATAATAGTTTGTGTTTAACAGACAAATCATGTAACCTCTAAGGCAACAACAAGGTTATACTTTGATCTGGATTTTATTTTGTAACTTCACACAGGAAACCATTCTCTGCAGTTTACCTTGACACGGATGCTAACTACAGCTAGCCTCTCTAGCTAGAGAGAAGAAAGTTGACTGGGCGATTTTCGTGTTCAAATCATGTAGTTTTTATAAAACAATGAAACCAAAAGCTGTGGCCTTCTCAACTGACCTCTGCACAACTCAGCTGCTCGCTGTCACAACAAAATGATCTCGATCGCCCTGCTGTCACGAAATACTTTCTGGGAATTGAAGTTCTATTAATACAATTTGCTTTACATATCAACAATTAAAAACATTAAGTGCCAATGTATGTTTCTGAATTGTTGTTTAGAAACAACAAAATACAGCATATATAAAGTAACAACAAAACCTCCTGTGGCTTTACACGTACATTTCTAATTTGAACACTGGGTGTAAATATACTGTTACAAAAAAAAAAGACTACAACAGCTGCTTTTAGCCTTTATTTTTGATTCAGTGGACTTTCTTCAAAGGGAATGTAGATATCTTATGTTGTCCTCTTTGAAACATTTTACATTGTACAGTTTGATAATTGAATATGGAGAAATAAAAAGACCGGACCTTCAGACTCAGAATCATATGAGAGTATATTTCAATGTCACAAGTCAAACTTGGTAAAATAAATCACTACAACTGAACCAAGAATTAAGACAGAGTGGGTTGCCTCTCAGTACACTGCGTCACATAGTCTGTTCTACCCAAATGATATTTTTTGGAGCCCCATGCCCTCAGTGTCATGACACTTAAGAGAACACCCTTCCTTCCTCTGTGAAAATAATTTAAAACATTCAATAATATCTGTTGTATATTGTTTAAACTCAGAATAGTTAAAAACACAATACCATCAAAAATAAAGAATGGTCAAGTAAACTTCATTAAAAAAAATAAAGAAATAGAACAAATGGAATGACAAGTTCTTGTTTGTGTAAGCATTGTCAATGGAACAGAAAATAGGGAAATAAAAAGTGTACATTCCTAATCATGCAATATACAAATTTTAATCAATTTTATGCACAGGTAAAAAGATCAGAATTAGGACAATGTATGATTAGGGAAGTCAGGTTTTTTTTCAGTTTCACTTATCAGTAATTTTCAGGAACAGGGGATACATACATATTTTCTGTTGACATTCCTGAAATACAGCTCATCACCTCTTCATTTAAACTCTACTACTGGAAAGAAGATCTTATGGAATGGCTGACCTGGTGTTCAAGTCACAGACATCATTATCATAGTTATCTACAATAGCAGACAGATGTAAAGATGGCCTTACCAGAAAATATGATCAGAGACGCTACCAAGTCAGTTTTAATCTTGCTACTACTAGGTTAAGTCGTGCTGGACCGGGTAATGTCCTAAGACATGAAAGAAACAAACTATAACATCAAGTACCTCAGACTTCTGCGATGAGGCCATTTGTTTACAAAAAATGGCCATTTATGCTCATCGTAACATGTCAAAGCACAAAAAAAAAAAAAAAAAAAAAAGGTAAGGCAGTTTTTTTGAGGGAAAGGGAACACTGGGGTTAATCTGGGTTCATGCCAGCACGGGTAAAGCTACTTGTGGAGTGGCACAGGCGTAAATGCTTCGCATGATTTAACGTAAAGTACAGAGTGATGCTTCGGTATAGTGGAAGCCACATCGCCTATAACTGATTAAGAGAACCTTAAATCACTGACCATTTAATTGTCTCCGTGTTAACTGAGAGAACAACTTCAGAACCCTGATATGCAGAGCGGTTTTTAACATAAAGACAGGTTCAGAGTGTAACATTAGTCATCCTTTCACACTGGCTTGTTCTTATGATTCAATAGGAGGCAGGACAGTCACGTAACATGGGCAGCTCTTTTTATGCTGCCTTATGTCCTTAAATTTGTCATTTGATCGTACAAACGAAGCCTTCGACTGGCTCATCCTGGAGAGATAATAGTATCTTTTTAATATAACAACTGCTGTACAATCAAACCATTTGAGATGGTGCTCACAAAAAGTGACACAGCCCTGACAGAAAACTGTCCCACGGTGAAATAGTAATATTAAATTACAGTGTAAAACCTTCCCTCAAGTGCCAGAGGTTCATTGATTCAATCATTTTCATACTCCTGTTTTTAAATTCTTTGACTCATGAAAGGAATGATATGTAGGGCATTTATTACAGGCGTGTCAAAATGCAGCTTAGCTGAGTTGATCAGGGAGTGTATATTCAGGGGAGGGAAGAGGGGCTCTAACAAGACTCATGATGAGCTGGAGTAGATCAGACCGCACGGCTAAGGCACAGAGCAAAACACTGATCTACTGTAGAAATCACCCGTAGCGCCACATAAGGATTCTGTTCAACTTACACTAGAAGATCTGCTCTGAGCCCTGCCAGGAGGCAAATGGGGCAACGGCTTGGAAAGAAGTCTCAAACCCATGCCTTATATGTAGTTTTGGTTTCATCTCAGCACTGTGCTAACTGCAGTTGCTCAGTGTCAGGTCATCTCCAAGCACCCGGTCAGTGGTGGGTAAGCATGTTAAGAGTCTCCATTTTTCCAGCTAGGACCAGTCTGAGAAAGAGTCAGTCTAAAGTTTCCAGGCTAACACAGACCAGCAGCACGCCGACTGATGGCAAGTGAGTGAAAAGAAGGGGGCGAGATGAAGGCGCAGATAGGTTTCAGACAACAAAAAAAAAAGAAGACAAAACAACAAAATACAAACCAAAGACAAAAAAAAAACCTTCAACAGTAAAAACACAATTCAACCATAAACAGCAAAAGTCCAGTTGTCAACATTACATTACACGACTGTCACAGACTGAATTGCCAACAGAGTGGAGGGCAGAGAGAGCTGCACAGCAAAGAGCAGAGTAAGCAGAGCATCCAGAAACAGGAGCTCAGTATAGAGTCACAGTCGGGGAGGAACAGGGTGGCTTGCTGAGGTTTGGAAACGAGGAAGTCAAATTTAAGCTGCTTTGCAGAGAGGATGGTGAATGTACACAGTGAGTCTGTAAAACAACATCAAGAGTGACCACAGAGCTCAGAGTGCAGAGGAACAGGAATGTGGCGACAGTGAAGAAGAGGGGAAGGAGGGAAAGAAATCTTGCGAATCTGAGGACTAATAAATAGGGCGATACTGGAAGTGCCAGCCGCATTGTTTCATAACATGATTATGTTGCTTTTCAGCCAGGGAGGGAGTGGCATGGAAGGGGTCGAGGGGGGGGCACCCTGGGGCTGTCGACACAATCAGCACTGAGAGAAGGTCTGCTTGATCTCATCTAGCACATTCCCAAGCAGCGTCGGCTCGTCACATTTAGCATCAATGGACACTGTCTGATCAGACTGGGAGAAGAGGGAAGGAGAGAAAAGAAATCAAGGTCACACACAAATAGTTAACTAAATCAAAAACCTGATCATCATACTTGTTTTGAATTAGGAGGAGGATAAGGTAAGACTTTCAGGCGTTCACTCACAGTTTTGACCAGCAGACAGACATGATGACCCTGGATAGACCTGCTGTACATGGAGGCACAGGAGTCGATCCTCTCCACAACTAATGCCAAATGGAAAAAATAAACAGGTGTTAGCAACTCTTAAAATAATTGTGTGCAAAGGTTAAGTGCTGGCTAAAAGTAAACCAGTGCTGGACTCATTTTTAGTTTATTATTAATTTTAAAGACTAGTTTGTCCTGGTGTAAAGAACATGTGTTTTATTATTTCAATGGTATAATACAACAAGGGAAATTAATATATGTAACTGAAAATTAGCAAATAGACTCTCTCTGCAACTCATTAGTTTCATGCCCTATATTAGATCTAAGTTCAATTGCATTGCTTCTATCTCATAACAAATTAAACTCACAGGAGAGCTACTCAGAATATTCTTAAGATTTCCTTGTAATGTAAATGGTTTACCAATCTAGAAATGTACTCTTTGTACTTTCAAATACTTTGTTATTATGGTAATAAATTCCCTTAAAATAACATTTTATTTGATTAATTTTACAAGCAGAACACGCTAACATTTTGGTCCCTTTGTATTTAATAGGAATTGGAGTGGTGTGTACATACCAGAGAAATGGTGGTGGAAGCAGATCCTAGCCAGTAGGTGGTGGAAGGGCATGTTGACTCCCTCCAGTCTGACAGAGCTGCCCTTCAGGTCGCCCGACTCCAGCAGCTTCGCAAACGCATCACTGACCAAACAAAACAAAAGAACGTTTATCTTAATTTCCCACTTGGCCTACACGTAACAAAGAGCTTAGACAACTTAGAGGCTAGTGCCACTATCCATCACACATTTCAACTTTACACAGAAAACAAATAGTCTTATGGTCAGATAGAAACTGAATTTACTGAGTCCATTTCTAAAGGCTGACCCATTCAGCATCTGGACAGTCCTCAAGTTTGTTCTTTTCAAACAGTCCTCAGGTCAAACAGTCAATATGTCCATTCCTCAGTCTAAAACTAATTGTAATTGGCACATTGCCATTTAATGTTCTCAGCATGTTAATGATCCTGAGGAGTCCCTAAAATACATTATAGTAGAGTATAAGAATGATCAGTATACAGCTTATAATGTGGGTTTAAAAGTGGTGTGAAGGTATGTTCGATAGAATCTTTAACTAAAAAACAACCTGTAGCAAGGAGTAGTGATTAGGTAGGAGGTGCAGGTAAAGTGCAGTTTAAAGTCCAGTTTCTCATGAGTGGAGGAGTCCTCATTCTGTGGAAACACAAAAACAAATGCAGACGATCAATAAAAAGTAACGTGGCAGCATCTTGATTCTCTTTTACTTGTGCAGACCTGTAGAAGGATCTAGATGAGGGGTTACCGTAGTTACCAAAATAAAGCACACGGCAGCTATACTACTATGCCCTGCAGCCTCAAAAACACAGCTAGAAGAATTACATGAATGTCATATACTATGCAAAATACACTTTTTTTTTTTAACACTCCCTAGCCTGTCTACAAAGCCCCATATGAGAAAAGTATTTTGCCTGCTCAACTTTTCAGGAACTGTGCTCCACTCCCACAGCTTTGTTCTGACCTCTCAGTCTGCCTTTCCAACATAAAAATAATTCTGATCCTGTGTTTTAGCATGCCTATAAACCCCAGCGCTGCTCAAAACTGGCTGTTTCTGTGTCTACACCTTTAAATGCAAGTGAGCTGTGACCACGCCCCTCCCGGGAAGAGGTTTCCGCTTTCTCGCTCATGCCCAATTGTTTATGGTGGATACTTAGCAGGAAACTTTAAACTTGTTGAAAAGGAGGATTATATGTGACCTTTAAGCTTTATGATGGAAGCTATGACTGGCTTCATATATGTCACCAAAGCACCAAAAAGAAAGACACTAGTGCATGTTTTGATGTGTGTGTATGCACTGTATTTGTGTTTGCCTTCTGACCTTTACTATAAAGGTGAGGGTTCCCTTAAGTTTCTGTGGCATTACGATGCTCTGCACAGTGAAGACAAAACGAGCCTCGTTGGACACCCCTGAAGGAAACAAGAAAAAAAATCCCAGTTCAGAAATCAGACATCAAACTTCACCAAGTAGATTTAGAATAATATGCTTCTCATCTGAAAAATAAGGGACACACATTTCAGTAATCTAAATGTTACAGGTTTTATTGTTTAGACCAGTGGTTCTTTTTCACTTGGGGACCCCCCCTCATTGTATCACCAGGACCCACATGAAAAAACAAAAGCGCCATCAAAAAATATCTCAAATTTTAATTGTTTGTTTTTTGATAACTGTCTCTTTTTTTTGTATAACCTTCATATTTGTCTTTTAACGCCCCAACATCATAGGCCTACATACGCGTTCTTACCAAAGAACTTATAAACTATACAGCAAGTGTGTCATCATAATTTCATTTCAGTAAATATGTGCAAATCTAATAATGACAACCCCAAAGCAGACAAAGCCTTACACCCCCCTTGAGATCTTTGGTACCCCGCCCCCAGGAGGGCCTAGACACCCAGTTGGGAACCAATGGTTTAGACAATCAGCTGCTCTTTAAAAGCTCTGCATTCTGCAGATATCACTAACCAGGTGGAAGTTGGAAGGGGACAGTGAGGCCGTCATGTGGCCCTGACCCCTCTGGCCTCTGCAGCTTACAGTTGAGAGAGTCCAGGACATTGAACTCCATGGATTTGAGGAAGCTTTCACACTTGTTTTCAAATATAACTGACACCACCACCTGACTGCCATCCTGCAGGTTTCCCTGGATGTCGTTCACCTTAGTTGGAGAGAGGGAAAAACTAATTATTTTCATCTTTCAATTGATTTCATTTGCAAAAGGAATAAACGATCAAACTCAGCTGTCTAACTTCCCTCCTTGTATTTCAACAATGGAGATCTGACTATAAAAAGAAGGCAAAGAGCAAACATAGAAGATTAGATTCATAAAGCCAACACCAAAGCACACATCGCTGTTTCAGAAAAGAGATAATAATAAAAGACTGAATTCCTCTACAGAAACATGAAAATAGTTGGCCTCAGAGTTCAGACTGTTAAGAGCAGCGAGAGCAGACAGAAACACATCTAGAGAAGAGCTTTTATAATATTCTGTCGCTGACAGAAATCCAACCAGTACCTGATCAGCATCCTCCATCATCTTTAAAAAAAAAAAGAGAAAAAAGGAGAGATCTGCATACATTGTTCTTTTTAAACTGCTAATGTTGTCTTTGCCAACTTAAACATTAAATGTTAAAATATGTCCACACTAGGTGCAGGACATATGGCTACATGTAAGGAGGAATCCAGGCTTTTCTTTAACCTGGAATTGGTAATTGGTATTGACATCACTGCAGAGATAAGGGGATGCAGAGACACGGCAACAGCTGAGGACGGTCATCACATTGTCAGATTTATCAAATAGATTTGATCCTTTTCAGTAACCAGACAAAAGTGTGTATACCTTTCCATCATCCTTATAATATTTGGCTCATTCATGAGGTGCGTTATCATTAAAGGGATTTTTTAAAGTGAGGCTGTTTGAGGTACTTGTCAATAATAGGTGGCGGAGCGCTAGCATGGAAGCCAGGCCATACATCGCTACAGACCGGCTGGTGTACCACCTAATTGAGCTAATTCTCAAATGAAACAACAGAAAACAACATCGGGGTAAATGTCTGCATATAGCCCTTTACCATTACCACATTTTAGGTCAGGAAGTCACTGTGTTTCAGTTCTAGTCCGCTATCGAAGCACATACGTGTTCTTCCACCCACAGCACACTGATGAAAGGTTCTGGTTTTTAAATTTCATTCGTGAAATTTTGAAGGTCTAAAAGATCAGCGTTCAGTACAACAGGGAGTTCTGCATGGTGAGTGATGCAGCGTGCAGCCATGTGTGAGTCGCTGGTATCCTCCAATTCAAAAGTCCAGAAGTGCTGTTTTGACCGAGTCCAACTCTCCGGGGTCATGAACATGGGCCCACAGTTTATACACCTCCATCACCAGGTAACTTGGGATCTCTCCCATCTCCCAGTTTCCAAAGGCTTCCGTTCTCTCTCATTCAGACCTGCTGAGTCTCCATCTGCAGAAGTTTTTCCTCAGAGTACTCCAGTCCATTAAATTATCCTCTTGTATCCACAGTAAAACAGCTTGTTACTGTCGCTCTAAAAATCTCAAGTTTATTTGTTTAAATGTATTTGTTGTCTCTTTTGAAGTGTGCAGACCTAAACAGCTGATCAGTGCGCTAGAACACAAATGTGCTGTGGTCGCGAACTAGAGCAAACAAGTAGTTTGCTGACGTAAATGTAAAGCAATTTTTTTTTAATTTTTTTATAGCTTACATTGACCTCAACATTATTTTTACAAGCAACCTCGCCTGTAGTGATGTAAGTACCTCATACAACCTCACTTCAAAAAATCTAAACTATCCCTTTAGGAACATGAATACTTTATAATTTTTGTCATTAAAACATATCTCTTTCTGATATCTCATTGACAAACTATTAAAATATGGATAAAAAGCTGAATTTATGGGGGCACTGGTGGCGCAGCGTTTAGTGCACAAGACCAATGTATGGAGGCTGTAGTCATCTAAGCGGACGGCCCAGGTTCGAATACGACCTGTGGCTCCTTTCCCGCATGCCATTCCCCACTCTCGCTCTCCCTGATTACCGACTCTATCCACTGTACTAACTTTACAATAAAAAGGCACAAAACACCCAAAAATAAAATCTAAAAAAAAAAAAAAACAGAATTTATCTCAGTGACAGACGAAGCAGCATCCCAATCACCATCACTCACCATCTTGATGTAGGAGTTCTCAGCCAGCAGGCAGTAATTGGACATAGGCTGAAAGAGGAGAAGAGCTCAGGTCAGATCAGGCGTTCTCTGTCACTCAGTATGCTAACTAGGCAACAGAAGCCCGTTTCACATAGTTGATGCATAACAAGCAAGGAACTCTGTGTGTGTGTGTGTGTGTGTGTGTGTGTGTGTGTGTGTGTGTGTGTGTGTGTGTGTGTGTGTGTAGCGATTAAACAGTGGGGCTAGCCAGGTACAAATAAGAATGATGATAAATGACACCGTCTATTTGCATCAATTGTTCTGGTCTGGATAACTTTTTTGTCTAAACAACTATAATCAGGGTAAAGATCAGAATGACAGAATTTACTTTCACTAAATGAGTTTCATTTAACACTTAATTGACTGATTTGATCTCATTCATGTGATGGAACAAATGACCGCTACAATCACTGACCGGCAGCGGCTCCTCCTCCTCCACAGTGCCATTCTGCACCGACTCCTCTGCCCCTCCATCACTGTGGTGGTGATGGTGATGATGCTTCTTCTTCTTTTTCTTCTCCTTCTCTTCCTTCTCCTTTTTCTGCTTCTTCTTCTTGTGTTTGGAGGACTTCTTATCATGAAAAACCCACAAGGAAGATGGAGAGAAATTATGAGAAATGCAATAGGGGACAAACTGAACCGTTTATAAAAACATAGAAACTGGTACAACATTTGCTCCAGAGCCCGCATGAGAACGAGCAGGTCTCTGCAATCTCTTTGTCTCTCAAGTTTGTGTAAATGATGCACCAATGTGCTGCATCCTGTCAGGTCAATGTGAATTGGAATCTTTGGCAAAGCAGCCAAACTTGTTATTTTGTAATTATCCCTGCATTGTTGGTGACTCACAGTCTCCTCCAGCTCTGTGTCTTTGGGCTCATCAGGCTCAGAGTCTGGCGCGGTGCATGAGGCCGCCTCAGGCACGGGGGCTGCTTCTGCTACTGTTGCTGCTTCCTGTTCACACACACAAAAAAACCCACATTGAGCCATTAGGAGTTAGCCTCCTATCATGTCAAATTTTCAGAATTTTTTGCCAGTTTGGTGTTGTTCAGGATAAGTTAGTGAGTTCACTCATTCGTTCCTTAAAAAAGTCATTCATGATTAGCAGCAACCTCCTGTGCTCTGATTTGCAAAAGACTACTCGCAAGCAAAATGTGCTCAAACACGGATGAGCCTGAGTTAGGAACCTGCACACGTGTTATATCTGTGGGTATCTTTGCACTGCAATGTGCACTAGGTGTTGATTAAAGAGCCTGATTTACAAACATCTGGTGACAGCCTACACTAGTGCTAATGTAAGTGTCCCGTAAAGAAAGCACTGTTCTATAGTGCTATCATGACGGCCTATACAAAAACAAGTGTTCCACATGAACATGTTGAGGCGTGTCTTTTAAAAGGTCATGTTTCTGAGGCACCCTTTTTTTTTTTACTCTGATGCAACATATACAGCGGAGAATAAATGGAAGGTTCCAAACAACCTACACCTATTTTAAATATCAAAATCCATCTTGTATGGTTAAAGGAACAGTGCTACATTTTTTGAAAGTGAGCTAACTTATATATATATATATATAAATAAATAATACATAATGTTTGTTGCTTTTTTACTTAGTTATCTGTATTCTTTGACTTTGACTGTAAGCTTAGCCTTAAAGATAAAAGAGATAGGACTGGACAAGTTATTTATCTTCATCCTACACCCTTTTTGAACATGGACTGGTTAAGGAAAAACAATCGAGCCACTACAGAAAGAATGCTTTGATTGTTGTTTGCAATACTATGTAATAATACTAATAATATGCAATACTTTTATTTTATTTTTAAAACATGTTCTAAATAAAAAAAAGAATGAAATGAAATTACAAAAGTTAGAAGATATTAAACAGAGACCAAAAAAAACAAACTGAAGAGAACCTGACATTTTAGAATATAATATGACATATCAAAATACAGTGTACACACAGACATACTGTACATACACACATGCTGGAAAACAAAGGAAGGCTGGAGGGTGAGAGAGGAAAGTGTTATGTGACCTGTGAAAGAGAGGAAACTGTGTCTAAAAGGTGAGCTGTGGAAAATGGAAATCTTATCCAAATCAAAAGATAATAAAGGGAGAACTAATGGCAAACACCAACTAATGAGGTAGATCAATGAAACATGGTATTATTGAGAGAGGCTGTGTGATCTGGCCAGATGAAAAGAAGAGAGAGAGAGGGGGGGGGGGGGGGAGGTGACTCAACCTGGGTATTAGAGGGCACTGGAGCGTTTGAGAGCCAGAAATCCAGATCCGAAACCTAGAGGAGGGAGGGAAGGAGAGGAGTGCCAGGAAGTGAGAGGGGTGAGGCCAAACAGGTTTCTGTATCTTTCTACTATTCATGAAAATGGATCCACAGATTAGACTGTTCTATTTCATGAATAAATCAAGTATTTGGCATGAGCCTGCACCGTCAGCTACGAGGAAACTGATACTTGATCACTAAAGCCTTCTGAAAGACATGCTGGAAGAAGCAATGGAAGCGTTGAGTCAATGAAAATGATCAAATACTTCTATTTTGCATTGTAATCTTTTAGCTGGAGTAATAGACCACATGCAGTAACATTTTTCATCATTTTTGAAACAGATTATTTCAATTTAAATCCAAAACACTGGGTCAAATCAGACTGTAAATATAGTCTCTGTTGCTAGGTAGCAGAATGGTCCTGCTCCACCCTATGGTAAGGACATACCTCAGCACTTGTGGAGCTGGGCAGTGCAGCCACCTCACTGGTTTCTTCTGGTTGGACCACAGGCTCATCTGCCTGACCCCCGAGAAGATCCTCCTCCTTTTCTTCATGTTTGTGTTTCTTCTTCTTCTTCTCCTCTTTGCTCTTCTGAAAAAGAAAAAAAAAAGATAGCTACGTATCAAAACAAGGTTTGAAACCACAACCACTACAGTCAGAAACATTAATGCTCCTTGAAGTTAATCCCTTTGCCTTCAACTTCTCTGAAAAGCTCTACTGGTTTTGGGAAGCAGTTTTATCAGAAATGAGGAGAATAAAAGAGAATTCAGAATAAGGAGAGTGTGTTTTCAAGAACACAATAGATGAATCCTTTTGATGGAAAGAGACATTTGACATTTACCTTCCGATCCCTGTCTTTATCCTTCTTCTTCTCTCTCTTGTCCTTGCTGCTCTTCTTCTTCAGCTCCGGTGGAGCAGCACTCTCTGCCTCGCCGTCTTCTGCTGGGCTTTTTAGGGCTTCTGCTGCCCGGTGTGACCTGACCGGGAGCTTCTCACTGTCTGCAAGTGGCCTGGACAAACAGACATGCACAGTTATGACTTTTGAGTAAATGAACACAGTGAAATTAGGGGTCTTTAAGTTCCATCTGGATTTAGTGTCAGCATCTGAAACATATTTTTTATACTCCTTAGTAAGATATAATCTTAGAGACCATTAAAGAAGGGTTGTTAAGTGCAGCAATCATATTCAGGCACATTTTACACAGCAGCCAGGTCTCATTCAAAGCAGTGAGGTAAGCCATTCCTCTGGCACAGCTAGAAGCATTAGAAATTCCCAGAAAGCAACAAACTATATAAACTTCACTATTGTGAATGGATAAGATGTTTCAACTGTACTACCGGTACTCCAAGCCTCGCTCTTTAATGCAATAATGACATGCAATGTAGACCCCTTCTGGTTAATCTCTGTAAAGACACACACCTCCCGGTCTTAATCCACCAACTTGGTAATAAAGGTGATACATTTGTAGTTTATTCCAGTTTACAAGATGCATTGTTTGCAAGATGCATTTCTGTATTAAATTTTTTTTTTTTTTAATTTTAAGAAAAGCAATTCTTGGATCACTTTTCATTGACTGAAGATCTTTCATGGAAGGATTTTAAGAAGCCCATTCATGTTAATTACACATATGTCCTTCAAAGACCCTGTACTTTAGTAACACACAGTGGTGAACAAAACTACATGTTCTAAAAGGGGTGTGTGTTTAAGTGTAAGTTAATTTCTATTTCTCGTCCTTCCCAAGTCCACAAATATTAACGATTAAAGATGTAGAATTTTAAAAAGGCACGTGTACCTGTTGTTTCCAAAAAGAGTTTCAACTTCAAAAACTGCTGATGAGAATTTGAAGGCATGGCTGGTCTACTAAACTGAGGAGGACTTGTAAGCACACAATTTCAGCACCTAATCCCTGGGATAAATCTCCTAAAAGCATATTGATGAGGATTATTTTCCAAGAAAACTGCTATCATGATTTTAGGAGCCTAAACCAGGAAGGCAGGTGGCGAGATCAGGTCCTGAAAATATAAGCAGCATCGTAATTCTATGAAACCATCAAATCTTACAAAAGAGAAATCTTATTTTCTTAAATTCTTCTTGATCAGGGCAGAGAAATTGGTTCGACAGTGATGTGCTGCTGATATTTTCATTCTCAAGTTCAAGAAGTTTGGCTGAGAGAAAAAAGGGACTCTGGGTATTAAACTAAGCTACTGGAGATACTAAAAACATGGAAAAAGAGCAAAAAGAGGAAGCAAGTACTGCAAACTTCAAATGAGGAAAGAAAGGACCGCTATGTTAGTAGGAGGAGCAAGACCGCTATTCAGAGAGGGTGAGAAGGACAGAGAGGCAATCCATGTACAGTTGGCACCCAGGTCCTGGGGCTGGGGTGCTACTCACCTGCGCCGAGCCGTCTCCACCAAACTGCCCGCGCAAAGAGGCAGTAATGGATGTGTGTAGGCATAGAAAGGAGGAAGCAGAAAGCAGAACGCCATGAGAAGGAGTGCGGTGGAAGAAGAGGGCCTCAGACACATGGGCTGTGATTATATGACCAGGGAGATCAGGAATAAATGCTAAGAAAATATAAATATATATATATTTTTTTAAATCACAAGGGATTTAACTTCAGTGTTCTTCGGGTTTGAATCTGGACTGAAAAATCAAAGTGTTCAAGTTATTCAGCTCATTTAGAGACATTAATGACTGGTTTTAAAAACATAAACATTGTGTTTTAATCAAGAATAAAATCCACATGGAGATAGATTTGTTGTATTAGGATCCACGTAGTGTTGACTCACCTGTCCAGGTCGATATCCAGAGCTTTATGAGGGTCATTAGGGTCTTTTTCATCATCATCACTGGGTAAGGCATTCTGCAGGAAGAACAGTGAACCAATCAATACAGAGGTCGTAACTAAATGAATCTATTTCCACAACACACAAAGTGCTCAGATAACGGTTAATGTGACTTTGCTTGTTTTGTTTTCAGTTCCACGAGAACTGTGACAATTAGTGTATTTAATTCAGTCAAAGATATACGTCCACATCTGTGTTGTTCCTCAGTTCTACTTATAATGTTGACCTTATTAGTGAACAAAGCACGACCATTTAGAGGGAAAAAATTATATTCAGTACATCATTTAACAATTTACTCCAGAGTTGTTCAGATTTCACTTTATCATTTCAGCACAATATTTAAAACATCCCATTGATACTTTATTTGTATTAATGTGCATCAAGGCTCATGATTAAAGGATATATCAAACCATTCCCTAATGTTTATATCTTTTGTATATCTCAAAACATACAAGTTATTGGATTCCCTTTCAAACTGTGCAAAGTTTATTTCCTTAAAGAATACCTCTGGCATCTCTTCGGTAACTATGTCGACCATGTGCGCAGGCGTGATGTCCTCCTCGCTCTCTGGGCCTGAATCATGTTTCTTCCCTCGTCCGCTGCGCTTTTCTTTCCTCTTCTTCTTGTCCTTCTTCTTCTTCTCCGCTCTCTCTTTCTGCCGACGCTCCTCCTCCAGTTTCACATACTGGTCAGACATAGGCAGACCTGTGGGACGGAAGACAGAGACCTGTGTTACAACCTTTTAAGAATTACAAATTGTGTCTAAAAATACATTTTTTGTTGGTAAGACAGGATGAAGATAAAGTATTGTTTTATGAAATTTAATAGTAAAATGTTTTCCACTAAATAGTTGGCACAATCAGATAAGAAGGGTAAGCAGGTCTCCATCAGAATTTTCTTTAGAACCTTACATTTCTTTCCTGCAATCTGGTCAATTTATACACCAAATTAATGTAAGTAGAACAATTCTGGGTCCTCATTTGTGGCATTTTTTGGTGTTATTCAGGCATATTTTTATATCAATGATGAATGAGATCACTTCATGAATCACTTCAACATTTTGATATATTTCTTATTCTTCAGCACAAAAACTGTACTGAGCTGTATAAAAGTAGTCTATGGGCGCCTATGCACGCTTCACCCCTAAAGTCCAGTTCGTCTGATTAGTTCGAGTGTCAGACACTTCCTTTGCCCTGGCCCTTAATTGAAGAGGTGTGCTTCGGCCCGGTACAGATCATGAACGAGCACAAGCACGGGACACAACTTTGACAGCCTTCCACTACGGAGAAATCCTGGAGTGTTATGTCTATATCTGACTAACATGACACAAAATAAGCTGCAAAGTCAGTAAAGTAGCTGTCATGTTGTGTTGTTCTCCGATGTGCAGACGTGGACTCGACAGCGCATCCCTTTTATTTATTTTTACTTTTCGAGTTCACCTATCTTGTAAACTAAGAATGCTTCATGGTCACGTAAATCCATGCACGTGTTGTATATTAAGACCTTAGTGTAGGCCAGTTGTAGTTCTGTGTGATCTCTTGGATTTACTTACATTGGATTTTGGTTTGAGTTACTTTTTGTTTTTCATATACACATTAATATATTCTACGCTGTGGTTTATTTCTCTGAAACAGGGTCATGCAGTTAAGAAGTGGTCATATTTGAGCTTGATTGGAATGTGAATTTTCATTACAAGTAGGGACGAGACAAAGTCTGACAGACAGAGAGGTAACCATAGTAACTCACTTGCACCAGAGTGCGAACTGAACGAGGTGAGAGAGCTGTTGACTGAGATCACTTTGAGCAGCACCCACGTTAATAAATGACCGTCCTGATTCTACTGTTATAAAAACAGCCGAGATCTGAACCTCGCTAACACCATTCTTTTGAAAAAGGCACACAGCATAGTGGAAAGATTAAAATCTTCTAAGCTTTTTTTCTAAGGACTCATAAAGAAGATGTATGTTTCAAGTGACAATTTAAAGTTCGAACATAAGAATGAAGAGAAAGCTACTTAAAGCCTCAATCACAGCCTAAATAGTGGTTTAATAAGTGTGAATTGAGTGTCAAGTAGTCTTTTCCCACCTGGAACTTTGAGAGGCACACTGAGGTCGATCTGCACAACTGGGATGTGCTCCACGCCAGGGGCTTCCTGGTACACCTACACAGAAGAGAGATCCATTCATAACACAACAGGAATTGTTTACAGTAACAGACTCTGAAGACATTCTTTGATGAACTTGAATCCTGAATGAATCAAACAGACTGGGTATATGTGGGGTAATCACACCTTTTGAGAGGACGGCGAGGCTTTGATGTAGAAAGGATTGTTGGCTTGCTCCTGCTTTCTTGCTTCTCTCCTCTGTGAGTGTGGAAACAAAAACAGATGCGTCAAATAAATAAATAAATGACAACAAAGCAAGCACAAGGGGAGAAAGATTTACAGCAGATTAGATTTTTTTTTTTGTTGGATGTAAGGTGCTGCATTATTAGGACTAGATTGAAAAACAGCTTAATGTCTAAATCTGAGTCTTGTATGAAACAAAAAGATTTCATTAGCTGTATCTAAATTGAATTTTCATTGACTGACCCTAAAAATGTGAAATGCAGAAATGTAAAGCATTTTAATGTAATTTAAAAAACTATAACAATTCAAAAGGTTCCCCTTAAAAAGATGTCAAGATATCCTTAAATAATATAGGTATCTAAAAGGTGATGTCTTTTTTTTTTCTCCATTCGACTGAATACCTATAGACTGTTCAATGAAATAATACTGCTTGTTCAATTCAGCAACCAGCTTACCCTTGCCAGCTCCTTCTCATCCACCTCTGTGTGGCGGGGGCGGGAGTGTTTGGGCTCCTCCTTGGCAAAAATAGCCCTGGGCTGCTCGTCCTCAGACTCACTTTCAGATGGAGGTTCATTGATCCATGCATCCAAGTCCAGGCTACACAGACAAAACACAGTTATACTTTGCTTGTCACGGGAAAAATATGCACACATTAAGAGTTCCAGCTGATCATGTTGTTGGACCTCAATGGCATGAACAAGCTTGTTTTATTTTTACGGACCTATGTAATAATGCCGTCTACATTTCTGTGACAATATGTGTATGTTTCTTTAAGTAAAGAACAAACTAACCCTTCAGGAACAGGCACTTTCTTCTGTGCCTTAGGGGCCACAGGGTTGAGTTCTCCAGCAAACAGAGCGCAGACCTCTTCTGCTACTTCTACATCCTTCTGTTGAAGTTTCTGGATGTACTTGACCAGCTGCAAGATGCAAGACGCCTGAGGACATGACAAAAGGTGACAAAGACATGGTGATTCACATAGGAATATATTGTTTTTTACATCTTCTTTTTCTAGATATTGGGAAACATTGTGAGGTATATAATGCCAAAGCGGGCATCTTCTTAATTATTTGTAATTCATATCTCTCTTACCCTTTCCTGCACTTCCAGGTTGGCGCTCTGTACAAACAGTGGCAGCCTGTCTATCATTAGCTGGCTGGTTTCTTGTGCTGCTGTGCCTTCCGTGTTGCCCTCCTGGCTCTTCAGCACAGTGGCAAACAGCTTGGCTGCATTCTGCACGTAAACTGCCTGTATGTGACCGGGTAGGGTGGCCACCTTCGGTCGCAGCATGGCCTCTAGCGTCTGCATCGGGTTCTCCAGGTGTCTGAAGAGACGAGAAGGGGCATATAAGGTCTGATTAAAAACTAGATTTAACCATCATACTGGTGCACTTTAAAAGCATGGCATATGCTTTATTTCATCACGATATCATGAAAAGAGGAAATGCTTGTCAAATTTCTTTCGGTCCAGTTTTGTTACTCATATTACAATAAAATGAAAACTAAAGCAGCATGTGGTTTAAAGATGTCTCAAAAATGCCTCCATCGACTAAAATAATCCACAACATCAAAACCCCCACACAAAATCATTTGACGTGTTGAATATTGGAGATATTTGTTACTTTTGACAGGTTAAAGACAACACAAGTGACAGCAAAACTTATATAGACAAAGGCTAGCATTGATGTGTTTGTGTGTAAACAGCAAAAGGTCCTCACAACAATGAGTCTGCTAAGGCTACAAAGACTCAGCCAGCTTGTACAAAGATGATCACAGAGATCAGAAACAAGCAGATATCTAAACCAGGCTGTCAATCACGTCCCTATGGATTCATTGTGACAGGAAGCTGCAGTCATGTGATATCTTATTGTCAGCGATTTATTATGCATGGCTGCTGGGTTACGTCTACTTAACATCCCTATTGTGTACAAAGTGGAAAAAAGTTTGACAAAGCTTGGTTCAGCTACTTCCTTATTCTGGTTTAAATGTTTCACATATATCAGCTTATACTGGTGTGCGAGTGAGAGATAACAAATCGACGTACTCTGAGAATTCCCCGCAGATCCAGGCTGCAGCATACAACACTTCACAGATACCCTTTCGCTGCACGTTGCCCGTCAACAGGTGGGCATTGTCCAGCAGAGTGGCCATCTGGGCAACAGCAAAGACTCGGATAGCTTTGACCCGAATAGCAACATCCAGCATCTGAGAGGCAATGAGGTGGCCATGGCGCGTGCCCTCTAGTCGAGTCAGCTCCACCAGGATACTGATGTACCTGTCAAGCACATATAAAAAGGAGCAGTTTAAAATCATGCAACAGAATGGTAATTTAAAAAAAAATTAACACATTTGGTTTTATACATAAGTAGAGGAAGGTTTGTGGTACAAGACTGACCATTCAAAGTTGGTAATGTACTGGTAGTTGCTCTGGCTGCAGATGTCGATGATCTTGGTGAGAAGTTCATCTCTGTAGGTGGTTCCTTCTGCTTTGTCCACATGCAGCATAAGCTTCTTTACAATTTCCATCAAGTTCTTCTTGGAGACCTGAGCGGGCAGACACCAGGTCAATAACCATCAAGTTTAAATGAATGCAAATGTTAAAGATTATCTTAGACAGAAAGAAACAGGTCTTCAAACAGCGTGTGTGTGTGTGTGTGTGTGTGTGTGTGTGTGTGTGTGTGTGTGTGTGTGTGTGTGTGTGTGTGTGTGTGTGTGTGTGTGTGTGTGTGTGTGTGTGTGTGTGTGTGTGTTTCATACCATGCCGTAGAGCAGGTCCAGAGCTCTCAGGCGGATCGACTCGTCCTTATCATCTAGACACTGGAGGATGAGATCTTTGTGAGACTGCACTGACTTGGGGTGGGTCTTCAGGATCTTTGACATTGCCAACAGGCCCAGGTACTTCACTACAAAAAGAAAAAAATACAACTTAATTCATACACACATGTACCCTCTTCTCTTTACACACATTTACCTGATTAGCCTCATTTGACTGTGAATGCTGTAAAAATGTTTAGAACTTTTCATTGTACAGAAATAACTGTTTAGCAATAATGTACTTCCCTAAATATTTATATCAAAATACAATGCGATAAAATGACTTTTGTGTTATCTTCAATGGCATGATAATGGCTCTCTAAATCATATAGAAATAAACTAATCATCACAAGGGAAAGAAACAAAAAAACAAACATGACAATGGAAAGGACACAAAAACAGTCACACAATACAACACACACACACTGGACACAGAAGTTTTGTTTTGCCTTCTCCCTTGTTGTCCTTCCCGGCAGCAGTCCCCACTCACCAAACAGACTTTTAAAGATTGAGAAATCTGCTGAATCCCGCACTTCTGTCCATCACAGAATCTGGCAGAGACAAATGCCTCTCCGGTTGTTTGATCAATAAGTGTGATCGTGAGGTCAGGCTGGTCACAAAAGTGCATGCACTGCAGAAATGACCAGGGACACAGAAACAGCTGCAGCGGACAAAGACGTGGCCTCTGAATCTACCTCTGCTAAGGAAAAGTCACAGCAGCTGTTGCAACTTTCTCTGAATGAGAAAGGTATAACTGAATGATGAAAATTGAGATGGACAAAGAAAACCTGATGAGAAAGTGTTCTACACTGCTTCCTTCAATCAATTTCTGTTCATTTACATCACTTTTAAGTTTAGCTGAATAAATCAACTGCATCTGGGGGTTTGCTACAACATTAAATGTATCCAAAACAACAAATGAATGGGGACTGATCATTCTATTTTAACTGGCTGCTTATCGTTTTATTAATGGGGTTGTAGGCATATCAACGGTGATATCCTAATTCTACTTTAATTGTCCCAAAAAAAATGAACTCCAAATATTTTCAACATCACTTCCTCCTTTTGACACTTTCAATTGGCTCCGTCAGCATCCTGTTTTTTTTCTGATCCTGGAACATGTCACATCAAAAGCATCACTATGAGAGCCAACTAGAAGCGCGGTGAAAGGATAAACAAAACCTGAAACCACAAGTTCACAGTCTGCTCTATTAAGATCAGCATTCTACAATCTACTCCAAACACAACTACATATGAATGGGTGTCCAGATAACTCGAATGTCTGGATTTAGTATTCCCAGCTCCACCTCGATGTGTCTCACAGCGCTTATTTAGAAAAGCAAATAGGTTAACTTCTCCTCCTTTCAGATTGAAGCTACAAGCCCTTGTACGCATGAAAGGGTGTGACTTAAGTGACACATTCTAGGCAGGCCAGCAAACTGAGGGTGGGAAAGTGATGATGTTCGAGTTATCCAGAGTTAAGGGCTCTAACGGTGTTGTCATCTACAAGAATGGACTGTTCCACAGTCAGAAACACGCAGACAATGAGAAAATGACACACTGCAGGCATTGACAGAGGGCTCACAGTTCTGGTCCGAGTCTTCTATCAGGATTCGCAGTTTCTGCACACAGAGCTGAAAGAGAGAGCAAGAGAAAGGGGAGGGAGAAAGGGAACAGACATTAACACCAACGCAAACCTTTCCACACCAGTTTCAGTCTTGTCATATGAGCGCACTTCAAGGGACTGAAATGGGACAAATGAAAGCAGGGAAATGTGGCCTATTTGTGATAGAGAAAAAAAAAAAAGACATTTTCATGCATCTGGCAGCTTTGTGAGTCTTGGTTGCCTGTATGATGGCTGCTGTGTCTCTGGTGAAAGCATGCATTGTGGTTCAACTGGAGTGGAAAGGGTTAGGATAAACATCTGACCGCATGAAAGTGCAGATGAATGATCCGACCTCATGGGCTTACCTGGATACTAGCACTGTGGTTAGGCATCCCGGACGACAAGGAAATCAACACTGCAATGTGGGACAGAGCAGAAAGTTAGACATCAAACATGTTGTAATTAGAAAATACTAATTTCAAGAAGTAGAATTTGTAAAAAATAAAAAACTTTTACACATACATATACTCATACACATTTAGGCCATACAACCAAAATTTCTGGCGGCATAACTAACTCTACAATAAAGCTAAAGGGGACTGCTACCCTGCACACAGAATACCAGTACTGACCTGCAATAACAGTGTTGACACATTCATACAGCAGAGACATGGCAGAGGTACTATAAGAGATGAAGACAGGGCACGACAGGGGGAGAGAGACATCGAGAAGAGAGGGAGGGAAGATTATTATCAATATAAATCCATCGTGGCAGAACGTGAACAAGTTTACAGTGGAGGGATTTCATCTCACCTGTGGATAAGATTAGTAAGAGGTTCAATCAGTTTCTTTCCCAACCGAGGCTCAAGAGGTGTGAGAGCACCAAACTGTGAAAGAAGCACAGAAAGTGTGAGACACAGCAGAATATCTGTCCTGTTCATAATCATTGATTGATAGGTAGAGTCACACTGATGTCACGACTGACTTTGAACAACTGCAAGGGAATGGATGTGAACTTTAAATGAAGGTAAAGAGCTTGCCATGAAATGCAAGTGTTGATGATACTTCAAACATAGGATTCATCATATTTGGCGTAATACATTAAAGGTAATCAATAAGAAACAATACACTGTAAAAAGTGTTAGCAGTGAGTATAAAACAGCTTGCGCCGTTTCTGTACTTACCAGCTTGATGATCTTAATGAGAACCCAGTTATTAGTGGAGGAGGTCATGAGTTTGAAAAAGAGAGGGGCAAGAGACAGGTAGTTTTTGGGATTTCTCCGAGCCAGCTCACAGATAACATTTACTGCCGCAGACTGGACACCTGAAGAAGAGAAAATACATGAGACAGGAATGGAGATGAGTAAGTATTAAAAAAAATAGTAAGAACACAATGACTATGATAAAGGGTGGCATCTTCTGAACCTCCTGCCATTTAAAATTGGTCCACTCACACACATACAATAAGAGCAACACTTGTTAAATGCATTACAGCTACATAAACGTCCTACATAAAGATGCTTGTGTCCGTGCGACAGAAAAAAGTCATGTGAATTGTTGCAAATTCCCAGACAGTTGTGGCAGAAGAACAAATGAGGCGTCCTTAATCTTATATGCTTAGCTGCTGAATAATTCATCGGGGTCAGGTGACGGAGAACACCTCTCCCCAGGAGAGCCAGCAGAGTCTAAGATTTAGTGACTCTGAATAAGGAGAAAGCCCATTTGTCCCAAAACAAGAATTCCACAAAATCTAGCAAACAATGCTCCTTTCTTTCACAGTTGTCTCATCACATGACAAACACAGTGTCTTTCTGGATACCTGGGTCTGGATCCTCCAGTTTCTCCTTCAGCCTGGGGAAAGCTGGGCGCAGAGACTCCGGGTACTTCAAAAACACCTTGTACATGATCAGCACCGCTTTCTTTCTAATGTAGGGTTTAGTGTGAGACATCTGAGAGTGAGAAAAAGTAACGACAGAAGAGGCAGTTTTACTTCAATGAAAAAGAGCAGACAAATCGTGTTGCCTGCTGAGTCGGGGTTTAACTGATCAGCAATCTCTTGGTTCGGTTCTGATCATGGACATTGTCAGAGATCAGATTGTCTGTTCTGTATTTTAACAACACTACAAATCAAAATGCATCTCCTTGCATCTTAACAATGGATCCCAACATCAATTTTCTTCACTCTATACACATGGCTATTATTCCAATAATAATGATAATAATAATTATACAAGCCGTTGAACCTGAACTCCCTTTTTATTTAGAATGCTTTGAAAAAGAGTACAACAGACTTTAATATGAAGAACTGCATCTTTGGAATTAAATTAAACTAAGGACAAATACAAAGCTCTCTGATAAAAGTCTGCTGTAATCAACAAAAACTGTTTTTTCTCTTATGAGCGTCAACAGTGTTGGCTGCTACTGCAGTGCATTTTGTGCAAGTTAGACTAAACTTGGTAAAAACATTTTTAAAAGACTGAATTTAGTTTTTATTCCTACAGCGTATCGTTATGGTGCGTACCCTCACTACTTAAACGCTGCCTACTAGTCACTGAGACTCTGCGCAGTGATGAGCGGCAGTTCATTTATTTTACACCATGTTAAAATAATGTCCATCCAACCGTGGATCACATGCAGTCCGAACCATGAGGGTAATCCGAACAGATCACGGATCAACTGTGATCCATTGCATCTCTACTGCTGAGTCTTAAAGGAAATAAAGATACGAAAAAAAGTTAAAAAAAAAGGGGATAATGGACTGCCACCAGAAAAATCCATGTCATCATCCTTTTGACTCACCAGTGTCATGATGTCATTGGCCAGGTCCCGAGCCAGATCAGGGGTCACAAAACAAGAGAGGCCAGTCAGAGCAACACCTGTGTCATACTGGTTGGGACTGCTGAGATCCTGAGAGAGAGGACAAAGAGAGGATTGACAATGAGAAAAGGTTTGCAGAGGAATAAATACAGAAAAGTTAATAAAGGGCACAGAACCAGAACATCACTTACCTTCCGGATCTGATTGGTTGTCAGCATGATGACATCAGTGCTCTCATGAAAGCACTGTGAGGCCGCCAGGTAGCCAATCCTCTGTAGGGAGGAAGGGGGGAAAAAAGGACGCGATTCATTTCAACACTTTGACTGCATTCTGTTTTATTTCAGTACAATACAGTCATTACAAACATTCATCTTCAGGCAGTAGCACCATGGAGACTCTCCTCCACAGTACAGAAGATATGCCAAGAAATACAAAGAGGAATATTTGACTATACCTCGTAACTTCAATAATGCTGAAAAGGTGAGTTTGTGACATCGTTGTATCTTAATCATTCATTTCCAGGCCAATCTACACTTTGTTGTAAACTACAGTTCTATCTTCATACCCATATTGATCTATTTTTCAAGACGCTCATCATATTCCAGTCGTACCTTGTATGTAAACTTGGAGGAGCTCATGACTTCAACAATGTTGAAAGCGGCCCAGCTGACATCATAGCCCAGCATCTGAAGCTGTAACACAAAAAAAGAGACAGAGAGAGATGTGGGTGAATAAATGGAGGAGGGCTCTGAGCTGCCCCTATGGTGCACAGAGGAGCTAAATGATTTGAGCTGAAGCTCTCAAAGAGTACAATTGCAGCAGGCCATCTAAACCTCAGTGTGGGACCGGACTATAAAAAGAACGAGTGCTTTCGTTTGAATAGAAAATGTACACTCTTTAACACAGGTGAACACTTCTAGCTATTAAACTGGGCAGTGACTAATCTTAGGCTGTACAACTAAACATGCTTATGCAGCTTTGTACCTGTTTGTCAAGATTCATTAAGTGCTTCTAACTATCACTTTGTTTGGCCCCTGATGAAGCCTTGAGCAGAATCAACAGGCTTTGATTCAGCATAATGCTGTTTGAATAGAAAATAAATGATGTAAAGAGTTACAGGTGCCTTCTCTAGTTATCCACACAGCATGCCACATGAGAGTATGAAACACAACAGTTATTGACTGTACCAAAAGAAATCTACTCTAGCTTGCTTTTAAAATTTTGAACTAACAAGATATGAATACATTCTTCTATATTCTGTCTGAATGTCAGGTAATGTATCCTATACCGGGATGTTGCTTGTCAAGCCACTGTTATATATTTTGTCATGCATCTTTCTCTTAATCTGGGATGGTGGAAATAGAATAGTTTCCCTTGAAAGTCCTCTGGGAATAAATGATTGTTTTAATGAACACTGAAGGATTTTTATCAAGATGTGCATTAGTGTATCAACTAGAAGTGATGAAGAGTGTCAGTGTGTCAGTGGAGGATATTGAGAGATCTTACGTAGGTGAGCTTGCACACTGCATTGGCTTTGACGGCAATGTTGTCCTGCTTGAGCTCCTGTTTGATCTCATCGATGCATGTGGAGATGTACTTGGCCTGAGGGCAGACAGAGGAGAGGACAAACAACAGACACAAGATCAGATTAGGTGGAGGAGTGATATCCGGAGTGGGAGGCAGCTACCAAGCACCAGGAACCAGCTGAAAAAAAAAAAAACCTGGTCTAACCTGGTCCTGTTGTTGTTGTTACTATTTTAGACATGAGCCAGCAAAGGTGGAGATGAATAATTGTTTATCTAGTCCAAAGTCAAGAACACCTTCTAAACTTTGTCATGTCATTATGCATTTTCCATCTCTTATTGCAATGATTGCAATACAATCTCGGAACCCAATCGGCAATCATTGACTATCATTATCATTATTTTACGTTGCATGCGTAAATGTAGAGTTAAGTACAGTATATAGGTCCATAATATCCTGGAGTAACGCCCATTCATCTGATGAGCCTCAGTTCAACAGTAGAGTTACACAGCGGCTCCACTCTGTCTCACTTCAGCGGTACACGCCCCAAAAAGAAACTGATTGTCCTGTTATTAATTCGCAATTAAATTTGCCGAAGAAAAAAAAACACCATGATGCAGATCTGCAGAGGGTGAAACGTCAAGCTTTGTTGGGTCTGTCCTCTAGAAGAAGAAAACAACTTTCAAAATGTTTGTTTGATGATTAGTTTGATGATCGATCGCTTCTTTCGCGACACAGCGTCAGGCAGAGTTGTGGCTCAAAGTAAAATGTTTGATTTGTAATAGATTGCTGGCTGCACTTTTATGTCTGTTAAATATCTGTTAGATATCTGCTAAATGCTGCCGATGGGAGTCTGCAAGCTGAAGCGCAGATAAAGGTTAAGGCATTTTTTTGGCCTTTGTCTCTTGCTTGTAGGCCGAGAACCTTTTGTTTCAGATGGACAATAACTGGCACACATTAAACTGTGTAATCTGAAGGGGAAACCATTTTGCTATGATGTTATCGTCACTCACGGCACACCAAACTACAGAAACCAACTGCTTGCTTACAGAGAAAAACTATGAGCAGATGATTTAACTGTTTCATTTTTATTACATTGTCCCTACACGCAGGTTGTTTTATGCACAGTGAGTCCACAGCTCTTTAGTGTTTCCCTTCCAGAAGCCTCACACCTCAATGAAGGAATAAACTGAAGAAAAAAAAAAATGCTGCCACATAATCCCTGCTACATTACACTACATTTCCTGAAAAAGAGTCAGCTGAAAGTACATTTCATTCACGAATGGAGAACTAGCTGAGATAACAAACACATACACGTATAGCTCTGTAGAGTGTGAGTGTGTGCTGGTCATGTGTGTGCAGTCATGAGACAGCACAGTGACAGGAGGAGGTAGAGGAAGGGGGAGGGGGGGGGGAGGGGGGCTGAACAGTGCTGCTGCCGCTAAGGCTAGCAGTGCTGGAGGGAGTCAACACATGATCACCCGACACAAACACACACACACACACACTTTTTCAATGAACAATTCACAACTCATTGACATAATTGAAATAGTTGTAAAAGGGCCAACAAGGAGAATCTTTCAGCAGATGCAGATAGAGAACAAAATGAACTCCAACAACCTTATTCTTTAACTCTTAGTGTTAGCTAAGGCTAACAAGTTTTACATCAAATGAAAATACACATCAGCCTTAAATCCTTACTGGTTATTTCACAGAGCTACACTCAGGTCACATTCAAACGAAGGTTTCTTCAATAAGCTTGTTGTTGGACAAAAATAAAAAAATGTGAGAGGGTGAGTGAATGAATGAACGAACTGTGCAAAGACCCAGCACACATACATGTGAGAGACTAATATAGTGGATGAGAAACCGGTGGGCCGGGCCAGGAAAAAAAAGTCAAGGCACCCTCAAGGAGTGCAGACACGTAGCATATTAATATTTCAGCAAAGTGTCCACCGTTGACTGGGCAACCACCACATTATCTAGGCAGGCCAGGTTGGGTTACTACCGGCAAACAGCTTAGCCCATACATTGAATCGAGGACTGATGACAAGCTGCGCGGTTCATGCTTTGTCCTTTTAACATTATGACACATTGGTGAAACATTTGAGTGAAGTGTGTATAGACATGATTCAGCTTTGGTAGCTGATTGTACATTCGATGTCTAATCAGATGGTAAGCAGTACAAAACTGCCTTGTTGAGAACTAAAGCCCCAACGCCCCCCCCATAGGTTAAGACACCCTCCCTCTACATTTCACACCAGGCCGACAGCTGGGAGACAGGTGTGCACAGTTACCACAGCTCGTTGCAGTCACCCCCAGGTATCTTGATCTAACTACCAACCTGGCATTTTACAGGAAGGAACAAAGTTAGCCACAGCAGAGCTTGTAAGGACAGCTGGCAGACATGACAAATTGAAAAAAAAAGTGTCCTCTCCACCAAAACAGTGCCCTCTAAAGGCTCCATACCACCCTTTCTCCCACCACCACCACCCCGCTGGGGGGGTCTGGGTGCTGCTGCTGCTGCTGCTGGTGATGAGCAGTGACAGTAATGACATCACCTCCAATCACTAATGGAGATATTTTAATCGCTTATAATGGGCTGGCACTTTAATGGCAAGTTTGTAATTTTGAAACAGACAGATAATCCAGGCGTCCCTAAACACACAACACAGGACGCGATTAATCACATCATCCACATTCAGAGATGAAGGAACTACTTTTCTTCCAACTCCAAATAGGTGTCACCTTCATCCTTCAACATTTTTCCTAACTATAACATCTCCTCTGTATGACTATAACATCTCACTTTGGGTGATAATTGATCAAAGTCAGTATCTTGTGGTGCCACTGGTTTGAACGGAGAGTAATCTCCTGCTAAATTGCGATAATCTATCGAGCTGCTTCCTCCAGCTGGGTGACACTTAACTTGGGTTACACTAGCTGTCATTAACTATAACCATGTCTTAAAACAGGACAGGCAATGTGAACGTAAAGTTAGCACCACAATGAACACACACACACACACACAAAAAAAAGCGTAACTTAATAAGCATTGAAGTGACTGAAGGGTGGACGCTAGCTTTAGCAGACCAGCAGCTATTAAGGTGAGCTAGCTGCTGGATGATAACGGTGATGGTCAAAATGTCAATAAACGAGAGAAAGGTTCAACATTGTCTGGATGTCAGTGTGTTCTCGGTGGTCGTTTACCTCATCTTCCTTGTGATTCCTAATGCCACGTACTAAATCCTGCAGATTTTTATCGAACATCCGATCGATGCTCCCTTTGACAATCTTCAGAGCCATGGCTGTGGTTGTGACTTGTCCCGCTTTCTGTCTCAAGAGGGGCCAAGCTGGGGGGGTGGAGGAGGAGGGAGGGGGGAGCGGGGGTCTAGTGGGTGCAAGAGCGACCCTCTAGACTGTGTCTCATCCACCCGAAAACACGGTCTGCTGCGGCAGGATCGGCTGCTGTTTTTCACCTAAGCCCGGGGCGGATGAAGCTGATGAGGCCAGACGGGGCGTCCTGTATCCTCGCAGAGAGACGCTGGCAATGGATCAGTGTAGGAAATGGCTGACAAAAATGGCGTCCAAAAGTCAGCTGACTTAGTGTTACGTGAGACGCTCATCTGGGAATCCGGGGAATTAAAGGTCCAGTCCAGTTCTCACAAAAGCAAACCATTTGATGTAAAATGTGAATGTGAAAGTGAAAGATAATTCCTCATTATATTTATTATTATTATTATCAGAAGACATTTAAACTTTTAAACTTTAGCCTGAGTTGCATATATCATATATTAAACTGTATTGTTGCATATATCAAACTGTATTGTTGCATATATCAAACTGTATTGTTACATATATCATATATCAAAATGTATTGTTGCATATATCAAACTGTATTGTTGCATATATCATATATCAAACTGTATTGTTACATATATCATATATCAAACTGTATTGTTGCATATATCAAACTGTATTGTTGCATATATCATATATCAAACTGTATTGTTGCATATATCATATATCAAACTGTATTGTTGCATATATCATATATTAAACTGTATTGTTGCATATATCAAACTGTATTGTTGCATATATCATATATCAAACTGTATTGTTGCATATATCATATATCAAACTGTATTGTTACATATATCATATATTAAACTGTATTGTTGCATATATCAAACTGTATTGTTGCATATATCATATATCAAACTGTATTGTTGCATATATCATATATCAAACTGTATTGTTACATATATCATATATCAAACTGTATTGTTGCATATATCATATATCAAACTGTATTGTTACATATATCATATATTAAACTGTATTGTTGCATATATTAAACTGTATTGTTGCATATATCATATATCAAACTGTATTGTTGCATATATCATATATCAAACTGTATTGTTACATATATCATATATCAAACTGTATTGTTGCATATATTAAACTGTATTGTTGCATATATCATATATCAAACTGTATTGTTGCACATATCAAACTGTATTGTTGCATATATCAAACTGTATTGTTGCATATATCAAACTGTATTGTTGCATATATCGTATATCAAACTGTATTGTTGCATATATTAAACTGTATTGTTGCATATATCAAACTGTATTGTTGCATATATCGTATATCAAACTGTATTGTTGCATATATCAAACTGTATTGTTGCATATATCAAACTGTATTGTTGCATATATCATATATCAAACTGTATTGTTGCATATATCAAACTGTATTGTTGCATATATCGTATATCAAACTGTATTGTTGCATATATCAAACTGTATTGTTGCATATATCATATATTAAACTGTATTGTTGCATATATCATATATCAAACTGTATTGTTGCATATATTAAACTGTATTGTTGCATATATCAAACTGTATTGTTGCATGTATTAAACTGTATTGTTGCATATATCAAACTGTATTGTTGCATATATTAAACTGTATTGTTGCATATATCATATATCAAACTGTATTGTTGCATATATCATATATTAAACTGTATTGTTGCATATATCAAACTGTATTGTTGCATATATCAAACTGTATTGTTGCATATATTAAACTGTATTGTTGCATATATCAAACTGTATTGTTGCATATATCATATATTAAACTGTATTGTTGCATATATCATATATTAAACTGTATTGTTGCATATATCATATATCAAACTGTATTGTTGCATATATCATATATCAAACTGTATTGTTGCATATATCATATATTAAACTGTATTGTTGCATATATCATATATCAAACTGTATTGTTACATATATCATATATCAAACTGTATTGTGGGCTTATGTTTTTTTGTATGGGTGGGATATGTATGTATATGTGTTGTGTTGTGTGTTATGTATGCTGGCTGCTGGAACACCTACATTTCCCTGTTGGGATGAATAAAGTATATCTTATCTTACCTTTATCTTATTAGTCAATCAATAAATAACATTTCCACCAGCCTGCTTTAAAGTTTGGATGGACATTCCGTTATATTAAGTTGGTAGCAGAAATCTTCAAATATATGTTATTTTTACTTCTTATACACCACCAGAAAATGAATAACGCCACTTTAAAAAAAAAAAATAAGAGAAACAAAGCCATGCTGAGATTTTTATTCAAGTCTCAACTCAGTGATAGAAATGCTTTACCAATTTACATAGCACTAAAAACACCTGTTGTATGTATATGACGTAAAATGGCAAAATATGCTGCAGCTAAATGAGATCTCAATAGCTTTAAAGAGCAGTTTTAATATGTACATTTACTCCATATATTATGCAAGCTACTGAAAGCAGACACTATGAGGAGACGAGAATGCAAGGTGTTCAACTCCACAGCAATTACTATTTTAGACAACTGTACTGTAGATCCAAATACTTGCAAACAAGGGTAGAAAAAAGTGGGAGGACCCCAGTTGGAAAACAGTTGTGACTCCGTTAATGGCTTTACATTTCAGACTGGATTAACTGGAAGAAGACCAGATAATTAAAAAAAAAAAAAGAAACAACATAAAAGACCTACAAATAGTACTTTCCTGCTCGCACAATACCATACACTCAGTCATGGGGCCTTTGTTATGTTTTTGTTTTATAAAACAGTAAGCCAACTGACACAAAGGGCAGCACATATCTTCAAGTGAAAAAAACATAACATCATGGCTCCTCTTCTGCCCAATTTCCCCAACAAGAATCATCAAAATTTCATCTCAGACCCCGCCCCCCCCCCCCCCCAAAGGTAAATTCTGGTTAGAAGTGCTAAAAATGTCATTGTTTAATATACATAAAGGTATGAAAGACCAAAGTAAGAGTTCACGTGGTAGAAAGACAAATTAGCCAAGAGCAAGGGGTGGGGGGGGGGGGGGGTCAGAGTGAGGATCCAGGACGGGCAAGTGTCGTATAAAAGAAAAAGTACATTTCAGAAACACAGCGCCACAATCTAGTTAGCTTGTCCTTTTTGTTGTGATAAATAACTGAGCAACAGGGCCTTCTGGTTTGATATCATCGTACAACGAATGACCAAAACATCGACATTGGTGTAACAGATACATTAGGAAATGCCGGGTGTATGTTGCAATGTTGTTGACCCAGGAGCATCGCATGAAGTCAAACAAAGAGGCCACCATCTTTAGCACTTGGTCCACTGCAGTGGTGGTTAAGGGTCTTTAATTCAGCTCTCTACAGCAGGTGGCTCTGTCTCTGCAGAGATAGAGTTTTCTGCCTCTTCATACATGTGAGTCTGTTCAGCGGGGCTGTCTGGGCTCAACCTGAAGAGAAATGCACAATGTTGGAATGAATAAGTTGTACACTGAAACAGGCAGCAGACTCGCACCTACTTTGTCGAGTTATAAAATCTGCTTAAACCTAAATATGTCCCATTTTACAGATCCCATTAAGACAATCTACTCTTATTTCAGCTGTCTGTGCCACATGCCAGTAGAGCTAAGATACTTTGTATTGCTCCATATTTGAAATTCACCTGTTTGGACTTGATGCTGTGTCATCATTATTCTCCTCCTGGACAGGTGATTTTGGTTTTTCATCTACATCCATATCATCTTTTTTCTCTTCAGATTCCCCATTGACTGGAGTGGAGTCTAGACAATGAGAATTTCCATTAATATGAGAAAATAAAAAAAGAGAGTTATGTAGAACGCAGACAGAAGCAAGTTCCAAGGTGGTAGCTTTTTACCTGTGTTTTCTGTCTGCTTCTCATCCTCTTCTGGTTCCTGGCCGTCTGTTTTAGGTTTGGCTGGCATCTCCGCCTTGCCCACAAAGCGAAGCTTTAACTTGTTATAGACCTCACTGGCTTTTGCCATGACTGCAGTGCTGGATTTATACCGCCGAATCTATAGTGTACATAACGAAATTAAACAAACAAACGAAAGACAAACGCATGTAAACATTCAAATAAAGACCAGCCTGACAGCCCTGATTATTTGTCAACCCCTTAGACTCGATGAAATACCATATGTACCGTATGTTTAAATGCACATTTCACTGAATAAAAGACCCCACTTATTCCATTGCATACATATTCAATTGATGCCCTATGTTCATTTTTCCTTAATTTTGACTCTGTGTGGTACCCTGGCTTCATGCACGATAAGTTACAAAACAACAAAAAATCAAAAAATCAAAATCTGTCAATCAAACACCTTCTTTAGTGTGGCAATCACTTCAGCGTTCTTATGGAGGATTTGGCTGGTGACAGGCACTGCCTCAAGTTCTTCCAGGGCTTCTAGACACCGCTCTATGTCCTAAGAACAGACAAAAAATTCAGTTTTCATGTTGATGAAAAAACACAGAAAGAAAGGAAGTTGTATTTAACCGAAGTCATTGCTGTCACTCACTGGGTTGTCCACTTTGAGTGCAAACTTGATATCTGTGTGGAGTTTCTGTAGCTTCTCTTCTGGCGTTGCCTCTGTATGTAGACACAGGAGGCAGGTCAAGGTGCTGTCTCGAGTTACAACTTTCCCACTCACAGAAACAATCGATTAAAGTCATCAACACAAGGTTTTAAACAATGCAAGTCATCTTCAGCCAGGCTGAGACTTTTAACCAGCTTCAAGTCAAGTTTATTTCTAAAACACAATTCAAAATGTTGACCAAAGTGCTGCACCGGGGAGACAATCAAATTCAAATCAAATTACAATTAAATATTAAGTGCGCCCACATAAACAATTAAACAAAAATAAAAGATTAAACATGAGATTAAGAGCAGAGATAAAACCATAAACTGAGTCATTATAAAAGAGTTGCTGGACAATCTAAAATAAATGAGAAGACTTGAGGTCAACTTCAATTGAAGGCCATCGAGAAGGGGCGTGTCTTCAGCAGTGACTTAAAAATATTAATCGACTGGGGGCGCCGATGGCCTAGCGGTCAGGTTGCTCCCCGTGTATGGAGACTATTGTTCTTCAACCAGGGTTCAAATCTGACCTGTGGCTTCTTTCCTACATGTCATTCCCCACTCCCTCCCTGGTTTCCTACTCTATCCACTGTCCTATCAAATAAAAGCCCAGAAATATAATATCAATCAACTGAGAGGTTCATATGTGAATAGCAGAACTGCTCCAAATCCTCGTGGCAGCAACTGTTAAGGCTCGATCCCCTCTATGTTTCAGCTACAGAATAAAAGATTAGGGCTTGTGAAACTGAGTGCGGCTGTACGAAATAGAGATGGGAGAAAAAATTGATTCATGTAAAAATCGAGATTCTTCTCTTTGAGAATTTAAAATTGATTCTTAACTTCCAAAAATTGTATTTTTATTTCGACTATCAATAACTGTCATTTATTTTTATTTAGTCACTCCCTGCTAGGTGCTAATGCTAGCTCTTTAACTCAGTAGAATGCCAAATGGAGCAACAAGAAAGTCCGCCAGTCTCACAGATGACTGGAGTAGATCCTCAAGTATTAACTAATTCATAAATAGACTTTGAATCCATGGATCTATAAATCCAGAATCAGTTTGAATCCAAAATCGATTCTGAATCGCATCGTGACACCGAGAATCGAAACGGAATTCTGAGACACCAAAAGATTCCCAGCCCTAGTATAAAACACTGACCCTTTTTCTTTTCCACTTTCTTCTCTGGCTGCCTCTCTGGTTTGCGTTTGGGTTTTTCAGGCTTAGACCTGAGAGAGAAAGAGGAGGGGGGGGGGCAAGAGAGTGTGAGAGAAAAAGAGTGAGAGGCGACTCTGTGATCTGTGTACATTACATTTTAATGAAGTTCCTATTGTGCACTCACCTGGCTCTAGACTTCTCCTCTGACCGCCTGGCTTTCTTATCTTTTAGCTCTTTATCCTTTCTTTCTTTCCTCTCCTTCTCTTTCTTTATTCTTGCCTTCTTCTGCTGATCTGGCTTCTTGCTTGGTTTCTTTGCCTTTTGATGGGAATAGAAAAAGAAGTGACTCCTCAGCAGCACTTAAACAGACCAGCTGTCACATTGCTTTGAGTAGGCCAAACATAACACGTGATGTAGATGATTGTTATTGAAACTCTCATTATGTTTATTTAATATGACTGTACCTCAGCTGGTGGTGGAGAATCAGAGTCTGACGGCGCAGGGATGGGGGGTGGAGGAGGTTTTTTGGACTTCTTTAACGGGTGATCGTCTACACCTTCGTCTGAGCTACTGCTGTTGTCACTGTCGCTCCCTTTTTTACCTTTATCCTTGTCTCTTTTTTTTTGCTCATCCTCCTCCTTCTCTCTCTCGCGTAACCTGCGGAGCTCCTCTGCCTCCTCCTTTTTCCGGCGCTCCTCCAGCTCTCGTTTGCGCTCCTCGTCTCGTTTCTTCCATTCACTGATGTGGTCAGTTTCACTGTCACTGTCAAAAAACAAAGCTGCCTTTTAAAAACAGACCGATGTGTAAGCAAAAAAAACAAGCAAAACCTTTATCCACGCTTTAACATTACGACTCCCATGGGGGGGGGGATTTATTTATCTACTTTAACAGATTGAAGTGCAACCAATAATTAGTTAGAGATCAAACATTTTACACTTTGCTTGACTCTGTGTCACGAAGCTAATCAGTGTTTAGATTCCCTGACTACCTGAAACGCATCAGAAGTGATCGATCTGACCTCCATTCAACAAACTGTAAAAATATGTTTTCTTCTCCTCTTGACAAAGCGTAATGTCTGACTTTTTACAAATTTGCATCATGATGTTATTCCGTCAAATTTAATTGCAAGCAAGTCAGAAGAAAATCAGTTCATTTCTGGTGCTACTGCATAAGTGAGCGAGAGTGAAGCAGCTGTGTATCTTGTAGTCTACTGTTGAACTGAAACTCAACAGATGAATGGGCGCTACTCCGGTAAATTGAGGACCGCTGGCTTCACTAGAATTACACAGACATTCAAATCCCTTCCCAGAGGCATATATCATCGATCAGACGATGATTGCCGATGGGTTCCAAGATTGCTTTACAGCATATCAGACCTGTCGCTGTCCGAGGATGATGAAGGCGCTCGTTTTGCTGGGGCAGGTTTTGGTTTCCGTGCACGAGGCTTTGGTGCAGGCTTCTCTGTAGATGAAAAAACAACAACAATGTACATTTACTATACATGAGCAGTAAAAATACATCCTTTCATTTGAGACTTTTTCCTCGAAAATCGATCAAGCTAATCATGAATAAGACTGACTCCACACCTTTCTTACGTGCTTGAGGACCCTTCCTGGGAGGTGGATCTGAGTCTGAGTCAGACTTTGAGCCAGACTGGGAATCAGAACCCGACAGCGCTGGTCGCGGCTTCTCATCTTCTGAGTCGCTGTCTGCTGCTTTCTTCTCTGAACCTGATCCTGACTCTGAGTCTGACCCAGACATGGCCTTCTGGGACATCCCAGAGAAAAGGGGATAAAGTTAGAGATCAAAGAAGAAAAAAAAAAACTGCCATGAAAATTCATTCATTAGACACAAAAGTGGCTGATTATTCACCTTCTGCTTCCCTCTGCCTCCTGCTTTCTTTCCAACTCGTCCACCAGATTTCTTCTCTGGAGTGAAGTCCTGTTGGTAGAAAAGAAAAGGCGTTACATTTAGAGGCACTAACGTTTCAGATTATCCAACAATCACAGCCTGTTTAGTGTGTGCCTGTGTGTTTGTGGCTGTAATTACCTGGTCACTGTTCTTCCCGGAGTCAGACTCTGAAGGTGTAGGTTCGGATTCAGAGGGAGATCCACTCTCGTGTTCTCGGTCACTGGATGAGCCTCGTGTCTTTTTTGAAGGCGGAGGCCGCTAAAATAGAAAACACAAGCTTGTACATGGCAAATTTTATGTATCAGCAATGAATCTGCAGATCTTTTCGATCTGAGTTCCATTAATCAAGGCTCCTTATTGCTTTTGTCATTACTGCCAGTACCTTCTGTTTTCAGTCTTTAGAAGACAAACCAAAAACAAATGTGTAAGGATTGCTAAATGTTAGGGTGACTTTAGTTTTGCTGATGTCACGTTACTGTGAATAAGAATGTAATTTTCTAATAACCTTCAAGTGGAGATTTTATTCCACTTGCTTTGAAATGTAACATGAGTTACCTTAGCAGGAGGAGGCTTTCGCTTCACCGCTACTCCCTTTCCTTGGTCCTCACTCCCAGAATCTGAGTCAACCTCACTTCCAGATTCCACTTTCGGAGGCTCTGGAGCTACTTCTTCGTCCTCGTCCTCATCACTTCCTCCTCCAGCATTGTTGTTCTCACTGTCAGAAGAGCTGGCTGGCTGCAGATAAATCATGATAAAAAATAATGGAATAACACAGGTGTCTTGTTTTTAAAACACTGCAGCCTACAAAGCCTGTCAAAAAAAAAAAAAAATCAAAATCCAGCTCCAACTCTACTTGTACTGTATCTTTTAGATTAGGAGGTTATGCTGAATTATAGATGCTTCATTAATTATAAATTCATATATTAGGAAAACTTACTGCCGGTGGAGCACTGTAGGAGGCATGTGGATTGTTCTGGATCTCCCATAAACCTTCATTGAATCCCTTCCGTTTGTTGGGCTTCCCGTAGCGTTCACTGTACTTTTCATAGGCAAAAAGGTCTTTTGCTGCAAGGAATGCTCTGTGAAAAAAGGAGGGATTTTTAAACAACTATTTATACAAAACCAAGTTCCTAGTGTTATTAAGGATGCTCTACACACTGACTTCAGATCGTCAATCAGAAGACTGTGCCCTCTAGTGATGGATTAATATACTGCAGGTGCCATCTTGTCAAACAGATGGTGTCTGCTGCCAGAGCAGACCTTTCAACCTCTCTCTAAAACACACTGAACACTCAATTTGGCAGAATTCAATCCTCAACAGGAAACCCAGAGAAGACAAAACACCTGAGTGAAAGACTGATGAGCAACAGTGTGAGATAAAAGTAGTGATTGTTTATTGTCTCACACCATGGCTGTCAAAGAGTTTAAGACTTTAAAACAGTCAAGGGGCTTACATTTAAAAAGTAGTGAAGTTGGTCAAAGTATGTCTGACAAATTACAACTCTAACAAGACGGACAATAAATGTATCCAATGTTGTTATAAGGTTTAATTTAAAAACAAGTGCATTTCAGTCATTCTAGTCATAATGTTTGTGTATCAGTAACTTCTGACATACTCACGTTTCATGTGTTCCAAAAAAGAAAATTGGGATTTTATTAGGTGGAGGTTTCACAGCCCCATCTGCCACATCTTCAATCTGGAAACAAACAAAGTGTCAAATAACGATTTAAAACTTTACAAGGAGGTAAGTTTGGTTAGACCCAGACATCATGATACAGTCAGGTTTGTCTACTGAAGGCAGGTTTCACTGCAAAACAACACAACGTGGATATTTGTAGATTTCTGGAAATGTGATGCACCATGCAGAGTTTTACCCTGATAAGAGCTTTTCTTCTAGAAAAACAATATTTATTTTAAATGTCAGGTCAATAAAACAACAATGTTAGCTTCTGTGTTTAACGTCAATGCAAATCAAGGTTAGGCCAACATCATCTTATTTAGTTTGTGCAGCTCGTTCACTGACTCTCCAGACAGACAGTGTGTCAGCCCCACAATGAATTAACTTTGTAACTGTATGACATGTATCCATGTAAGACAGTGCTAATGATACACAGAAAAGCTTTCCAGCGTCCCATGCAGAGCAGCTCATCCCCTCCTCCGCCCCCCCCCTCCCCTCCTCGGCTGCTAACGTTACTTGCTTACCCTGGCTGGCCAGTGGGGGTACCCCTTCATTTTAGCGAAGACCAGGTCTCCAGGTTGGAAGTTGTGAGGCATTGTCCCGCTCCTCTGTGCTGCCTGGATTTAAAAAGTATTCACCTGCGTAGTCTGTCCGCTTCTCACTTGGTTTGCTTTTTTTTTTTCAGGTCGACACGAAACCTGGAAACGATGGGGTTAGCTAGCAAGCTAACAGTGTACCATCGTTACCGCGAGAAGAGATAGCAGAGTGAAGGCAGCAGTAATTCAACACGTACTTCCGGTGATGTGTCTTTCCTGGTCTTCAAAATAAAGGACTATCAATAACTGTCAACGAAACATGAAAAATTACCTTAAATTAAATAACCATGCTATAAACGTCTATAAACACTAAATGTTTCAAACATTTGTAAAAAAATAAATAATAATAATAATAAAATAAATAAATACAATTTATGGACACTATTAAGAATAACCATAAAATTACCATAAAACCATAAAATTAGAAAAACAGGGAAAAATAGAAATGTGTTAGAAAACTGGCAATTGCTTGTCCAGTCACAGTATAGAGGGCCCCTTAACTTGTTTTTAGAATAAGCAAGGCAAAGTAAGGAGCTTATTTCCTATGGAGGATCTTAAAACGCTATACAAATAACATTTAAAGAAGACAACATCCCCTGAAATTTACATCCTAATTGCTAAAAATGTACAAAATGAATGGTCTCAAACATGAATGCTCACCTGTATGTAGCCTACTGTACAGAGAAGGGGGGGGGGGTGAGGGAGACTCTAGTGTCATCATCCCTGACCAGGGCCAACAATTAAAATATGTTTCTGTTTTTTTAAACACATTATACAAACATAGTGCACTGAACAGAACATTTAAATTGTATATGTTTTTCCTACTTGAATTAATGAGCATGAGTGAGTAGGCTACATAAAAATGAAAAGAATTTGAGACAGAAAATAAAAACTTTTTTTTTTACTTCATTTTGAACTTGAGTTTACAGGTAGGATCCATTGATTCGTAAATGCATGAAAAACTAAAACATATTCATTTTTGGATTAAAGCGATGTGTGCATTTTAAATGACTAAATTATGAAGAGTTTTATACTACAAAGTAAAATACCACAGTTTGTAACACCGGAAACTCAGTCGTTCAATGTCGAGAAAAGCTTTATTTATCCGGATGAGGTCTCCTAGTCATCTCCACGCGATACGACAGTCCCACCGGACGTCCCGCCTTTAATGCTTCGCGATTGGCTCTCGTGCGGTCTATTTCCTTTCCACCCAATAACAGGTTACAATTTGGAGGGTTGTATTGACCTCCCCCCGGATTCACCTCTAACGAGAAACCATGTTTCGGTCTTTGAGACGCGTCCAGCAGTTTAACTGCAAACTCCTGACTTTACAAAGAGTCCTCGTGAACTCCAAACTCCCAATCTGTACGTCCAGGATGGCCAGTTCAGAGTTCAGGCTCGAGCGGGACACTTTCGGTGAGCTCAAGGTCCCAGCTGACAAGTATTACGGTGCTCAGACTGTTAGATCAACCATGAACTTCAAAATTGGAGGACCAACTGAGAGAATGCCCATCCAAGTGATCAAGGCCTTCGGTATCCTGAAGAGAGCGGCCGCTGAAGTCAACAAGGAGTTCGGCCTCGATCCAAAGATAGCAGATGCAATCATCCAGGCTGCAGATGAGGTATCAGCTGGTAAACTGGACGATCATTTCCCTTTGGTTGTGTGGCAGACTGGATCTGGGACTCAAAGCAACATGAACGTCAATGAGGTGATCAGCAACAGAGCTATTGAGATCCTAGGGGGAAAACTAGGCTCAAAGGACCCTGTCCACCCTAATGATCACGTGAACAAGAGTCAGAGCTCAAATGACACCTTCCCTACTGCCATGCACATTGCTGCAGCCACAGAGGTCCACCAAGTCTTGCTGCCTGGCCTGCAGACTCTGCACGACGCTCTGGCTGCCAAGACTGAAGAGTTCAAAGACATCATCAAGATTGGGCGCACGCACACTCAGGATGCTGTCCCTCTCTCGCTCGGACAGGAGTTTAGCGCTTATGTCCAGCAGGTGAACTACAGCATTGCGAGAGTGAAGGCTGCCATGCCTAGGGTTTACGAGCTGGCGGCAGGAGGCACAGCAGTAGGAACAGGACTCAACACCCGCATCGGCTTTGCAGAGAAAGTGGCCTCCACTGTTGCTTCTCTCACAGGCCTGCCGTTTGTGACAGCACCCAACAAGTTTGAAGCTCTGGCAGCCCATGATGCTCTGGTGGAGCTGAGTGGAGCCTTGAACACGGTGGCAGTCAGCATGATGAAGATCGCCAACGACATTCGCTTCTTGGGTTCAGGACCTCGCTCCGGCCTGGGAGAGCTCATCTTACCCGAGAACGAACCAGGAAGCAGCATCATGCCTGGCAAGGTGAACCCCACACAGTGTGAGGCCATGACCATGGTGGCTGCCCAGGTGATGGGGAACCACGTTGCCGTCACCATCGGAGGCAGCAATGGACACTTTGAGCTCAATGTCTTCAAACCCATGATGATCAAGAATGTGCTGAACTCAGCTCGGCTCCTTGGTGACGCCTCCGTCTCCTTCACCAACAACTGCGTGGTGGGCATCGAGGCCAACATAGAGCGGATCAACAAGCTCATGAGCGAGTCCCTCATGTTAGTCACTGCTCTAAACCCGCACATCGGTTACGATAAAGCTGCCGCCATTGCCAAGACGGCTCACAAGAAGGGATCCACGCTGAAGGCCGTGGCTGTGGAGCTGGGCTACCTGACTGAAGAGCAGTTCGACCAGTGGGTGAAGCCGGGCGAGATGCTGGGGCCAAAGTGAACATGGAAGAAACTAAATACATCACATAAAGAACAAGTGGAATTGTAAAAAAAAACCAAAAAACTTTTCCTCAAACATGAACATCTGTTCTATTTTAATAAAACATGAGTCCTCTGCTGTTATTGCAGCTTCTTATGTTGTGTACTTACTGTTGTACACTTCATTATTCAGAATGAAAATTCATCCACTTGTCTGCAACTATATATATTTGCAATGTTCTGTTGAAAGCTTATGTGCCATTTGCTCAACAGCACAAACACTGTGTATTTGTTCACTGACTTTATTCTGGAATAGTCTTAAATACTTGTCATAATGAGTTGGTAATTTCAGATGTTCACACTCTGCTCTCCCAAATGGTTCAACATGCATGACTGTACTTTTTATTTTCTTACAGTATATGTGCCATTTTTGCAGATTATTTGTGCAATTAAAACATGAATTATATGAAATGACAATGTTTTCCTCATTATTAAAGTCATCTTAACTCATACTTTTATCATTATTGTCAGTATCCAGTGATGTGTTTGTTGAAATGTGAGGAATAATTATGTAAGAAAAAACACATCCTGACATGTCTTTACGAAAACCTTTTATTGTATACATAAGAACTTAAAACATTTTGATGGTTAATATATGAAAAGAAAATTACACACTTTAAAATAACATGATGAAAAAAAAATGAACATTTGCTTCTCCCCTTATTTGGTCCAGCTGACCTTGGGAATATCGTAATGTTCTGTCAGGTTGTCCAGATGACGATTGAAATCCTGAAAAAAATAAAATAATAATTATATAGTAGTAGATGTATATTTATTCATGACATGCTCTATTCATATCTATGAAATAATTTAAACAAACTTTTTTCTACAGAAAGTGATATTACAATATATTTGGGGAAAACAAACATCTTTAATGAATCTTCTGTTGATTGAGATGGACTGAATGTGGTTATGAAAGGTCGGTGTGACATTACCTACCTCTACTCTGAGTTTGTGCGTCTTTGACGCTTTGTTCAAAATCCTCTCCATTTGCTTTAAAAAAAAAAAAAAAAGGAAAAAGAAGTTAAAAACAAATAAGCTGAAATATTTATACATCAAAATTCTGAAAAACTGAATGTCTGGATGAATTGGCAGTGGATATTTTATTTGATAAAATATAAACAACTATTTACAACAACACTATTCTCCCATGTCGTTGGGCAGTAAACATACAGTAGTGATCAGCTAACTAACAGAAAAAAGACGCTCTGTTCTTATTATGGTGCTTCACAATGTGTATACTGATATGAACTTTGCACTCTGGGTTAACGGGCTGATAAACATTATTACAGGATGTGAACATTCAACAAACATCACTAAGTACCCTGCTGAACTAATGAAGACTACATTGAAACAAGTTCAGGATGGAATTATTCTACCGTGCTAAGGTTCAAAAGGGGAACATTAGGACTTCTCTTAGCAGTTTTTCTGATCTAACCAGTACTTTGGTGTACAGCCTTATAGTTAATTTCCTACAGCTCACGAATGAACAAACAATTGGCCAATTTCAGTCCCTTAAAATACAACGTGCAGGACCAAAAACTGTAATCCCAATCCTACAAATCTTTACCAGTGCACTCTTATTTTAAGAAGTGACAGAAAATCAAATTCTTTTTGGATATTAATTCGCTCCCATATTAAGTGACTTTGTTACCCCATGAAATCGGTGCTTGGAAGTGAAATGGTATCTTATAGGACTCTTGTATTGATAAATATCTGGGATAGTGGTTTCCAAAGACATGACAGTGAAAAAACTTTAATACCCAACAATTTTACAGCTTTCACTCTCTATTTCTCTGCCCCAATCCTTGACCAGTCACTGCAGTTATCAGGCACGAGCTTGAACAAGGGGGAGCTGAGAGTGCATGAGCACCTGCCCTTTTGGCCCTGACATCCAAAGTGCACCTTGTTCAGGCCTTTTTACTATCGTGATTTTGAAGGGGCAGTTGCAAAGGTCTATTCATTGTTAATGAAAAACAAAATAAAAATGAAACTTATTTGACTATATATAAAAAGAGCTGGCAGCTGATAGTTTATGCCACATGAAGACCTTTCACCTGAGGACGATTGTTTTCATTAATGCTTATAGTAAAGGCATCCACCTAACAACACAAGTGGCATCAGCCTACAGTTGTAGGTTTAAAAATTAAAAATAAAAATCCTACCGCATTGTAAGTGCAACAGACATTATAGGGGGATGTGTGTGGCCATGGGGATCATGTGGTTGGCAGTGATTACCACCTAGGTAGGCCATCCAGGTATAATAACGGCCGCCCAGAGACGATCAGACTTTAAGACCAATTAACTAAGTAACTAATATGATCGATCGCCCCCTCACTCTAATTTATGTTGCAGGTCTGTTTACTCTGCAGGTCAGTTTTTTTTGTGTTGCACAGAGTCAGTGCGCACACATTTGCAACATGTGGTCATGGTTTCATAAATAGTGCGCATGGATTTGCACTGGGAATCAGCGCTTGTTGAGGTCCGGACGTTAAGAAAATAAATTAATTACACTTGGGATTATGATTAAGTTTACATAATGTTTACCATTCTTACAAGTGCATAAACAACACAACAATAGAATACTAAATTATATATCAACTTCACATAGCCTACTTATGTTAAGAACTGCAGGGCTGGAAAAGTGCAGAAACAATTCAACTGTCCAGGCCGTATGTTGATAAAAGTGTTTAAATGAATGTCTTCATCACCGTGTGAATTTCAATTCAATTCAATTAATTTTTGTATCGCGTCAACTCATAACAAGTGTTATCTCGAGACACTTTACAAAAAGCAGGTAAAATACTTACTCTTTGTCTGTTAACATTACAAAAAGCAGGTAAAAAGACCTTACTCATTGTTATGTTACAAAAAGCAGGTAAAAGACCTTACTTATTGCTATGTTACATGAATGTGTCTAATGAACATTGCAAAAGATCCTAAATGGACAACAAGACTAGATCATAATCATAAAGTAGTGCAGAAAATTTCGGATTAATAATTGATCAGAATGCAGGAAAATAAATGTTTGGTGCTTATAACAAGCGAATTTCCTGCAGGAAACACTGCACATGTCTCTTTTTTACTTTGAGCACCAGCTTAAGGTCTCTGCAAGGGCCTGGGAGTTAATAATGGAAACATGTAACTCACCCTTTTTTCTTGCATCTTGTCAAAAGCAACTTGTGCAGGTGTCCTTTTGTCAACGTATGCTTTCGTGGTTTTCTCCTCTTCATCTTCTTGATTGGTCACAACCTGCTCCAGTCGATGCTTACTCTCTTTAGCCTTCTTCTTCTTCCTAAAAAAAAATAAAAAAAATAAAAAAAAGATTACAAAACATGACTGACTGGTGGCTAGACAGGTCAAATGATGACTAAAACATCTCCCTGAAGAGTTTTATAGTCTCAGATAAAGCTACTACGACTCCTCCACTCACTGAACAGTATTTTATCACGACGAGTTTACCGAATTATTATTTTATCTAACTATTATAATCCAAATAAATGTGAATAAATGAAATGCTGTAACGCTAATATAGCAACCCGACTAAAAGCTCCTTAGCCCGAGAGCTAGCAAGGTGCGTTTTAAGTTAAAACTCTGTATGTTGGTCAATAACAAAATTTACAAACATTCACAATATTTAACAATACTTACTTTTTCCCAGCGGAAATGTCCCCTATACCTTTTAATTTCAGGGCACTCTTCTGGGCCGTGGCGTACTCAGACATTTTCGAGATTTCGAGAATTGTTGTTGTCGTGCTCTTCTTCGCCCTCTTCTGCTTCTTCTTCTTCTTCTTCTTCCTTTCCTGCTATGTGGGTGGATCTTGTTTAGTGTATATCGCCACCTACTGTACTGGAGTGTGTCAAATAATTTCTCTACTTTTCTCTCGGCTGCTAACTTTGTGTCATATACGAACGAGAAAAATGAGCCCTACTGACAGCTTCTTACTTATGTATGTGAATATCTTTCTAACTGAGTCCCAAATGCTGCCTTTAAGAGAGCGTCTTCTTCTACTTCTTTGGGTTTTAATGGTAGGCTATAGCTGGCTTCCAAAAGGTTGCATTACTGCCATCTGCTGGATTGAACTACTCTCAAACGCTAAGATTTATTTATTATTATTATTATTTTTTTATTGATTAAATTTATTTCAGACATATCAAATAAAATCAAACATATCAAAAATACAAAACAAAATGAAAAGCATGAAAATACAATAAACAAAAAACAACGTTCAAATTATTTCACAAAAAAGGAAAAAGAATAAGAAAATTACATATATTCAGTTGATATGCCTGAAAAGGAGTAGGCAGAAGTATAAACATTATTTAATCTTACCCCTTTCCCACAGCTCAATAATTAATATTTATTAAATCAAATTCCTGTGTTCCTTATAAGCTCTCTATATGTACAATCTAGCTATATACAATTTGCTATACTATTATTACTATTATCATTATTATTTATATATATATATTTTCCTTCTTAAAGCTCTCCCTCATCCCTGTACCTTTTGAAAATCATTGCTTTGTACATGTTTTTAAACTGGATCATGTTTGGACAATGCTTTAGCTCTGTGCTCATATCATTTCCCACAATTGACTTCTTTCCTAAAATGTCTGACATATTGTACAAGAACCTGGTCTCCTGATTCCTCTGCCTGGCAGCGTTGACATAAACTCTTGTATGACCGAGGCTAAGGTGTCAGCCTTTGGTGCATATGTCCCAAATGTTCTGCAATTCTTTGTTGTTTTTGATCATTCCTCTAGCTTCCGATTTACTGGGTGATATTTTCATATCTCGTTTTGGGGCAATTTTTGCCAGTGTATCTGCATATTCATTCCAATAACTATACTATCTGCTAGGCCTGTGTTTGTTTGTTTTTGCTCTTCATTGAACATATTGCAGGTACAGACAAACAAGGCACTTTCCAAAATCAGGACATTATAGGCATACATCTCAGGTTAAGTACGTACAGCGACAGGTGTTCAATGAGAGAAGTTCTAAAAGAAAGAGATGTAAATAACTGAAAGCAAAAGTCAAAATAAAAACAATAAAACAAATAAAGTGAAATATCTGGCTTTCTTGTATTTAAGAAGTTTCAATGACTTACCTGAGAGTGTTAAATTATTCCTCAAGGAGTAAAACTAATAGGTTAAGTTTTAAAACATCTTTATTTAAAATATTGATTGTGTCCACTGTTTAAAGATTTGTGAATCATTGATGATGAGTAACCCTTGTTTGCTGGCCATCAGTTCTTTTCTCTCAATACACTCTTTTCAAGCCTTGAATAATAAATGCCTTACATCCTTATATACATCACTGATAAAAGTAAGCAGTGAGCCCATCCATCCCTTGAGATTTGTTAAACTTTAAGGCAATCCAATGCCTCAATTTTGAGATCAGATTCACATAATCCTTAAAGGAGTCTGCATGTGGGATTAATGTCCTATTTTAAAAGTCAATATCTCCCTCTGGTTTGTGTTTTTTTTTTAAATTCTTTATTAAAGACAACCAAATATTCCTACAAAAACTCGTAGACTAGAGAATAAACATAAACAGCAATATGTAAAGGGATATGGAAAAGGCTAATTTAAATGAAAGAAAATTATTTTTTATTAAAATAAACAATTAACATTTTAACAATTAGGCTAAAGGCTAAAATTAAACATAAGGCAAATAAAAAACTTCTATGTATGCTGATTATTTATATTTTTTATAGTCTGTCGTCTTCTTCGATTTTTATAATATACGCTTTTGAGGAAAGCTGTGCTGCCACCTGTCGGAATGAAGTGAAATAACCTCAAAACGTTTGTTAGTAGCGTCTCCCTGTAGTGTGTCCTCCCGTCCAGAGTGCGGCTGCAGATTATTTTCCTTGAGCCACAAACACAAAAACGGAAGTCGACGGGACTCTGAAAGTCAAACTGTAGCATGCTGGGCTTCGTTTTGAACTAACCTGCATTTATTATAATCAAACATGTCAAGCAGCGGCTTATTTAGGATAGTCACGTTAACTAAATGCATCAGAACCAACGCTGCGTTCATGGGCAGGACAAACACACTGAACAGACAACAGATATGTGGATATGCTAAGAAAGTTGGTAAGTGATGAGGACACACTGTATTTATTCAGTTCTGTCTGGGTGTTGTAACAGCTCGAGATTCGTCCATTCACTTAGATAAACTATGAGCATAATGCCTGTTTTAAAATTAATTGTTATTATAGCAATAATTAGAGGCTTGTTTTGTATATTTAATCACATCGTAACCTCAATCACCTTCAACATGGAGGATGTTGATGCAAGTATTACAAAAATGAATGTCCTTTTCTTTGCAGTGGCCAAAGGGAGGGGCAAGGGCATGATGAAAGAGGAGCTGAAGGGTCCAGAGGTGTGCAAAGACCCCGTCAGGCTCACATCTTATGCAGTAGGTGTCAACATCCTCAAGCAAGGCGAAGATCCTCAGCTGAAGCCTGCTGAGCAATATCCAGAATGGTGAGGGCACATTTATCTATTTTCTTTGCCAATATTGTCCTTGTTTTTCTCAGTCATCAAGTGTTTTTTTGTTTTTTTTGTGATGTCTGTTTTCCTCCTGTCCAAGCTAATTGTTGAAATAATAGGTACGGTATATAAGCATTTAAGTATTGTTGCTTTATGTTCACATTTTTAAATGTAAACCAACTACTTTTCAGTCATACTATGCTATACCTACATGTGAAAAACTTCCCCATTGTTTGCTGGGATGACAAGGAGCTCAGTCTTTGAAAGCTTGAGTTGAAGCTGGTGTTGGCCAATAGTTTCTTCATATGTCTTCAAATGTTCCTTCTATGATCTGACTGCCCTGTTCTTTCATCTTCCAATCAGGTTGTTCCAGTTGAACCTGGGAACACCCAAGAAGCTGAATGAGCTCGATTCGGACACCTGGGAGTACTGGAAGCGTTTGAGGAAGGAAAACATTTGGCGTCACAACAGACTTCATAAAGGGAAAAAGTTTTAGGACTTCACTGGACTCTTTTCTTTCTGTATGTTGGATTTCTATGGACTCTGAGGACTTAACTGCCTTACATGGTTTACGTTCAGATGCAAAATTCAGCTTCTATTTCTATGAAATATCATATCAACTTTTTGCCACATCACCAATTGTGTTAGTTTTAATTCTGCAGCATATTCAGTGACCCTCTCACACTGTCGATGTGGTGAATTCCTGAAAACCAAGTAAACATTATATGCTCAAGACGGGAAGACTAAAAATTCTAGACTTGGAAACATAATTACAGGTAGTTGTTGGAGTTTTCAATAGTATCACATACTGTATATTCATTTTCTTCTACAGCAAACAGTAGTGGTCCTGAAGTTAATGACATTAAAATTAAAAAGCTTGTAATAAAAATAAATGAATACAAATAAATGATACTTGTGCTGTGATTGTTTTGTCAATTGTAGGAGGTGATGTTGAACAGTATTTGAGAACACTGCATTCTACTTTGAATTCATGATTTGTTTGTTTATGCCTGAAGCCAAATCTCTTCGATATCGTTCCACAAAGTACTTCCACTTTTTACTTTTATGGGAATAAGGCAGTTTCATAATGAATAAGGAAATGTAAATATCTTCCAAACTTTCCCTGTTCTTTTTTTTTTTTGGAGATGGCCTTTTCCTTCATTATGGCTCTATAATAGTCCTACATTATGAACTGTAGTTACAATGTAGTCAGAAATCCACAGGTGTTGCCAGGTTGATGACCTCACAGTTCTCACTCATCATTTCTCTGCGAAAGTTGGTTTCAGCCAATGTCGTTGCTATGACAACGAGTCATGCAAATGATCCGAGCCTGCCGAAATGAGGAAGCGAAATGAAAAGCAATTTCTCTGGGAGACGACTGCCACACCAGAATGCCCCAGGCAACTCTTACCGCGAAACGCACTCGTTCCCCTTTCCACTACTGCCTCATATTATAATACGTTTCCTTTATTTGGATGGTAAGTTCAAACTTGTTTTAATCAACTTTGCGGAAGTGGTAGTGCATTACTCATCGACGTCGCGGAGATTACTCTGGTTTTACAATTCGTTTCATTTTGTAGCTTCGTAGTTGTTCGAATGATTTCATGAATGAGGACTACCTCGTGCTGTACGTGTGCTTATACAGTACATCATTTGTGGACCAGACTCACTGTTTAAGCTACGTGGTGATGTTGAAAGTGAAAGGTGTGGATCAGATTTAAGTTTACCCCTACAGGTGACGTTTAACAGCCGGTTTCTTTGGATTATCCCATTTGGAGGGCGACACACAGAGGACGATGGAGATGCTGAAAACAAGTGTGGGTACTTTGAATGAAGAAGTCCTCAAGAGACTGTCAAAGATGTTGGACAATTCAACTTGCGGATGGAGGCAACTAGCGAACGCTGTGTCCGAGCATCCGAAATTCCGCTGCAGGTGAGACATTGAAGGCATCACACAAAGAACGTAGCAGGACAATATTCAAGCCGGTTTCACACATGCTGTGTTAATTGGACATCTTGGTATAGGGATGCTTTTTTTTTTTTTTTTTTTATGTATGGTAAACAACTTTGCCCCTCCAAATTTCTGTACTTTTTTTTTTTTTTTTTTTAGCCCTCTCCTCCATAAGCAGCCTTATACCACCCTTCCTGACTTCCCTCTTTACCCTTCCTTCCTGCAGTGACAGAGAGCTGACCAACTGCTCACTTCAGGTGCTGAGTCCTGCAGGCAGCCCAGGACGTACCCTCCTGGCCTGGCTCGCTGATCGCTTCTGCTCCCTGGACTTCCTGCTCCACTCCCTGGGAAAAATCAACCACCTGGAAGCTGTGCAGTACCTCTCCTCCATGGGTAAAGCAGAAGTGATTTGTGCCATACATGTGCAAATTGAATGGGAGGTGTCTCAAGAAATACTTCTTTATATATAACAAATTTATACCTGGGACATTGTTTTTAACCGAAAAACAATTCCACATCAGCCTACTGTCTCTTCTTTATCTGTAACTTTACCTCCCCTTGACAATCCCCACACTTTTCTCAAATTCACTGGAATATCAGAAACCAGGCCTAAAAAAGTCATAAGCAAGTCAGGAGTTTTAACCAGCAACTATAAATGTTTCTCTCAAATGATCCCATCCTAAGTGATCAACAGTTTGGTTTTAGACCCATGCACAGGACCGTCTCTGCTGTTAATCACATTGTGTCTAACCCTGATCCTGGTTAAAAAGGTTTCAAACATTCCTATGATGAACAGGGGGTTAAAGGCCATAATATGTACATTTCCAGATTCAGATATGCTCTAAATAGCATTTATTAATTATGATTTCATGAATTAGTTTTTAGTGTTTAAAGACTTCCAGTTTATTTCTGTGATCACACCAGGAAGCACCAGGATAGTCTTTGCTCTGCGAACCATACAACTTTCAAACAGGAGGAAAGATGGAGGAAGATATAGTTGTTTATTTCCTTAATATTTTGATCATTAATCACATGTGCAAGTTTGTTAAAGAACCCTGTGTGTGTGTGTGTGTGTGTGTGTGTGTGTGTGTGTGTGTGTGTGTGTGTGTGTGTGTGTGTGTGTGTGTGTGTGTGTGTGTGTGTGTGTGTGTAGTGGAGCTGACACAGATTACAGAGCAGCCTCGGTCCCAGCAGGCCACAGTGGGGGGTAGGCTGGTGTTGACCTGCAGAGCCTCTGGACCTCCTGGACTTAGCTACCAGTGGTTCAGAGACAAAGAAGAGGTCAGTCCACCATTTTCTGATTAAAGAGCAACTATTAGATCCCATGTCAAGTTTTGGTCTAATCTGCTCTCTGATATTGATCTATAAATTATTGTCCTTACATGTATTACTAAATGTCAACTATTAAGTTGCTATTGGTTGTTTGTTTCTTGTTTAAGATATTGGATGAGACAGGACGCACACCAGAGCTGGTTCTGTGTCCTTTAGGTCCGGTCCACCAGGGTAACTACATCTGTCGAGTCAACCACAGAGAAAACTTTGTCTTCTCCCAGTGGGCTCAAGTTCGCTGCATCCTCTCTGCAGGTATCTCCCCTCTCCTTCTTTCTGTTCTCCTTATTTCCCTCATTTTATCTGATCTCACATGAATTCAATCTTGTGTCCTTAGGATGCAGCAGCACGTTTCAAGGCTCATCGAGTGGGCTGCATATCATCCACCAGCCTCAGTCTCAAACTGTGTCTGAGGGCGACACTCTTTTCCTGCAGTGTAAAGCAGAGGCCAACCCACCTGCCCAGTATGAGTGGTACCACAACACAGTGGCACTGAAACAACCCAAGACATGTTCGCTGAAGGTAGGTGTTTCACGAAGTCTGCTGGCTTACTTTATTAAGTATATAACAATAATTTAGCAGAGATGTCTTCAATTACATATTGAAAAAGAGCCCCTCTATTTTACTCACTGTAATAATTTCCTCATATTTTCTTTTTGTTACATCTTTGAAACCTGTGTCTTTTTTTTATACAATAGATATGTTTTAAATCCACATATGTGTCAGCAGAGATGGATGAAATAAAAAACAGTGTTGAATGTGAGTGAGTGTAAAGGTGATTTAAAAAGGGTAATGCATTAGTTATACATTGGATCAAGTACCAATATTGATATAAGGAAAAGTCAAAGGCATTGATTGAAATGAAAATGAATAATTTGAATGAAGAAACCAATACATGCTTATGTTCTATTCTTCCGTAGATCCCATGTGTGACCACAGCAAACAGAGGACCGTACAGATGCAAGGTGTTCAACTTGTATCACGAGGTGTGGAGTGACACAGCAACAGTCAGTGTTGGTGAGACTCACACATATTTCTTTTACCTCTCTTCAGAACTTAATGTAGGACTTAAAAAATGGTAACTGACGACATTGCACAGTTATAAGTGAATAACTTCCTGCTTTGCTCGTTTATGTAGGCCCCAGTTCCATCACTGAGGCCGACTGGGAGGAAGTTGATCGTGGGTCAGGTATTTTTATTAAATGTTCTTTAAAGTGTTCCAGAGGAAAAAGAAGAACTTGTCTAGAATTGTAGTTCCTGGTATTTTTTCGATATATTTGCAGCATGAGATCAAACTGCTCTGTTCTATTTTTTTATGTACATTAATGTAAACATTGGAGTTTCTTGTAGGCCTACATTGTATGTGTCAAAGCAGCTAATCTGCTGCTGTTGTTGTTAGGTTTTGTAGTGGGATCATCTTATTAATAGACAGCATTGTGCACAGTATGTGTGGTAACCAAGAACCACAGAAAAAAGAATGAACAAAAACCACTATAATGAAAGATCAAACTGCATTGGATTATTATTATTTTTTCTTTTTTATGTACTGCGTTGACAGACTCACAGAAAGTCCCCAGGAAATATGGAATTCATCATTTACAACAGATGGCCAAACCGCCATCATCAGCCAAACAGTTCTATGGTGAGCTTTTACCCAGAAACAAATTAAGTCTCAATACAAAAATATACACTTTAAACAGACACATCATCTTTCTCCGTTGAGCATTTTTTTTTTTTAAATGTATCTTCACCTTCCACAGCAACTGACAAAGTTGCTCTCCTGATTGGCAACATGAACTACGTCCACCACACTCAGCTGTGTGCTCCAATTGCTGACGTCCACGAGTTGACCAACTTCCTCAGACAAATGGACTTCAAGGTGGTTTCCCTGATTGACCTCAACTGGCAGGAGATGCACAGCGCTGTCACTGAGTTCCTCCTGCTGCTTGATAAGGGAGTCTATGGTTTGTCTCCTTTCTATTTACAACATATGTACAAAACTTGTTACATATGTAAATCTTTATCAAATCATGTAAACTGCTCAGCCCTTTAATCAATCCAAATAAATGTGGACTAAACCATTTTTTCTCCAAAAATCTTTAAAAAAAAAGTCCAATTAAAGTATAAAATCTAGTTAGATCCCTTTTAACCAAACAGTTCAATGAAAGATTTTGATCCTAAGCTAATGACACTTCTTTGTCCTTCTACCACAGGCTTGCTTTACTTCGCTGGTCATGGTTATGAGAATTTTGGCAACAGTTTCATGGTACCCATCGACGCTCCAGCCTCCTACACATCAGAGCACTGTTTGTGTGTCCAGAACATTCTCACCAGGATGCAACAGAAAGAGACTGGACTCAACGTATTCCTTCTGGACATGTGCCGCAAAAGGTGTGGAGGATTTTTTTTTTTTAATTGATGAATTAATGTAAGAGCTTTATTGTACCATATGTGTACATATTTATGTGTCTTGTTTCTTATAGGAACCCACATGATGATGTCATTGTACAACCAGGACTGCTCAAAGTGACGGCAAATATAGTGTTTGGATATGCCACGTAAGTTCTCATCATCTGACGCATTCAGTCTCAAGCTAACATGGTGTCTGATTTTTATGTTTTTCTTGAAACACATCCACTGTTGGAGTCTGATGGATGAAACATACATGTCTAAATAAATCCCCATGCGTCTTGTGTCTAGATGTGTAGACGCTGAGGCATATGAAGTGAAAAGGGAAGATGTGTCAAATGGCATCTTCATCAGCTTCCTCAAACGCAGAGTTTGTGAAGAAGAGAAGGTCACGTTCATGCTCGACAGAGTGGCTGAAGGTATGTAGAGCACAAATGTGACTCATGACATCTCTCATATAGGCTTACTATTGTTTCTTACAACTGGTTAATGCATAAAGCCATCTTTGTTGTCAAGCAGTTCTGATTAGATCAGACATTTGAATATTATAGTATGCAAAGAAGTGGTTTCCAGCTGATTTTATTTATTTATTGTAAAAGTGTATGTATCTGCGTTTGCACATTTGTTTATGATCAGCTTACACTTATATACTATACTATATCTCATCTCAGTGGTTCCTAACCTGGGGTCCGGCACCAAAGATCTCCTGGGGGGGGGGGGGGGGGGTCAAATTTATATTTGCATTGCAGTGTTTCCCCTAACAATATATTAGGGGGGCGGCCTGCCCCCCCAACGGCCCACCCCACCCCCTCCCCCCCCAATTTTTTTTTTTTTTAAGCTTTTCTTAAATACTAGTAGGGTGGGCTCCAAAAAAAAAAAATGTTTGGGAACCCATGCTGTATCAGATAGTTGTTGTAAGCCCATCTGAATGGGAATTTAAACTGCTATGAACAACACATGCTATCATAACTTGTCTGTGTCATCATTCTTTATAGTTTAAATGAAATTCTCTCTTGTAGCTCCAGGATGTTTCTTTTGCGTCTGTTGCCTCAACATGTATTACTGACACACCTAGAGACATCATTATTGTTATTTGTTCTGTCTGAGCTTTTCATGTTGTGACAACCAAAATGTTGGCTGTTGTTAATGAGATAGGTATTGAACAGACCACAAACCAGTCATGCCCTGTTACAGCACTGACGTGTGATGGAACAAACCTGTCAGAGACAGCACTTTATAGGTTTCAGCCCGAACTATTTAAATATTCATACTTCTTAACAGATATGGGTCGTTGTGCGATCACCAGAGGGAGGCAGGCTCTGGAGCTGCGAAGTAACCTTTCAGATCGACGTTGCCTCACCGACCGGATACAGACACCTGACTGTTCTGCCTCCCAATCAGCTCGAAACCTGCAATGGGCTGTAGCTCATGGTACTCTCTTTGTAAAAACATAAGCCTAAATTAGCCCTTACCTCTGAAGTGTTTGTCATTTTTGTGGATTTTTGTTTTTCAATTTTGGCATGAAAGAGTAAAGTATAACTAGTCTTTTTTGTTTTTCCATAGACCTACCAAACAGTGACTGCCTGCAGTTTGACTGTGGGGTCAAGGTGCAGCTTGGGTTTGCGGCAGAGTTCTCCAACGTCATGGTCATCTACACGCGGATTCTTGAGCAGCCCAAAGAGATTGTTTCCTGCTCTGCTCAGCTTACTGACTTCCCTGAGGTGTGTGTATGCAGAAAATAACTGATAGAAATTAGATTTTAGAGACACAATAGCACATTCACTCTACCCCTAAAGACTTAACATACTTGTGACATGGCAGCTCACAGTTTCCTATCCTTTTTTATTTTTTATTTGTGAGATAACAGAACAAGTGAAACAGTGACACAAAGGACAAACGGGGAAAACAATTTTACAGGCATATAGAGAATTGCTAAAGTAATTGACAACCCACAAACTTGAGAGACCTGTCATGAGAAGACTCAGAATGAAAGCTAAAGAAAAGTAACAATACAAGTCTATAAACACATAACAAGTATTATTCTTTTTAAAGCAGTTTTTGGCATTGTTATTGTGGAAACGTTTTCACTGTATTTATGTTTCTTTGGCAGGGTGTTGACGTTGATCTGAAGAAGAGTAACCAGGAAACTCTTCTTGAAGCCGGCAGTTTAATACTAATTAATGAAAATCTTCTTTCACCGGAGGTCCCTAGTCTCTATACCCGCGTCCGAAGCCTGCAGAGACTCAGGGTCAGAAACTTGTCATTGTCTTATAATTTGTCAAATGAAAACCCTGATAAATGTCTATGTGCCTTCTGGAGATATATATTTGGCACTGTCAAAAAGGATATGCCCGCTAAATATTTGAGTGAAATGCCTTTTAAAAAGGACGTAACATAAAAGTTTGAGCTCATTTAAACAGTATTACTTAGTCTTAGATAAAGGCATCACAGCTGAGAACAGTGCATCCTTACTATTTTTCTCCTATGCTTAAAACTCACTTGAACTTCCACTGTCTTTACAGAAGGAGTTCAAATTCACCATCTGCCTCCTTTACATCTATTCCAACATGGATGAGGAAGTGCAGGAAAGGCAAACAGTGACAGTTGGTAAACCACTGGTCTCCAAACTCAACCTGCATGAACCCCGACCACCTCAGGCTTCTTACCCCTCGTCCTCCAGCTCTGACTCCTTCAACTTTCCTGAGTGCTCTTCCCTGACAGAGGCCTTTGCCTCAGTTAGTTCATCAAATGCGTGGTCATATGATGAAGACACTGCCACACAGTCCAATGCCATTGGCTCTTCACCTTCACTTAGAAATGCTAATGTACCAGAGGAGACTGACAGCTCTGATTTTGTTGATGGGCCTAAACCTCTTGTCGCCAGCAAAAGTTTGCCCATCAGCCAAGTGAATGAGACAAACTACAAATTCAGCGACATGTACAACTTTCATTCTAACTAAGGATAATGACACCCCATTTCTGATCAAGCATGTGGATTTGTGTTTTAGTGAAATAAATGATTACTACTACTACTAAGCTGACTCAGGACACTTGCTATTGTAAATAGTCAATTTATCTTAATAACGTTTTTTTAAGGTTTTCTTATCAATTTTGTATTATTTTTGTTTTATATTATAATGCATTTGAAGTTATACACTGCTGATCGCGTGTTATATGCTGTGCTTGCCATAAAGAACATATATTAAACAATATTAAGTATATAAATATATATATTATTTTATCTTTCTCTTGCATCTCACACAAACTGCTCAGAATAATGGTCACTCAAACCAAAAATGGTCTCCTGCAGACTCCACTCGCAGTCCCTGCACTAGACGTGAACTGCGCATGCGCCTTCACGCGGCCTCCATTTTGCGGCTGGTTAGCTGATCGTGTGTTTCCATTCGAGGAGTAGCATCAGTTAAAAAAAAGGGTGTACATTTGAATTACTTCAAGCTGAGGCGAAATATTTACGACTAAAACGATGGCTGACCCATCAGCAGACATAGAGATCCTGGAGGGGGCAGAGGTCCGCAGATTGTCCGAGCTGAGGGTTATTGATCTGAAGGCCGAGCTGAAGAAACGAAACCTGGACACCACAGGCGTCAAGAGCGTGCTATCGGAGCGTCTGAAAAAGGTCCTTTAACTTAAAAAAACCCCAAATAGGCACATACTTTTCTTTTACACGATAATTGCAGAAGGGAACGTCTTCGACACGTTATGTGCATCGTGTCGGGGGGGCAAATATCAAGTCAGAGCCACGTTTAGCATGAGACAGATGCTGTTAGCTTTTACCAGCCAGCTAACCTTGGCTTTTTTTTTTTTTGGTTCAGTGTCTTTTACACACATTAAAATGATTTGACTCAAGATTTGCTTTTAAAAGTTTCCGTTTTTTGGTGTTGCTCTCCTCAAAACAGGCGATCGAGGAAGAGGGGGGAAATCCCGATGAGATTAAACTCATTCCCGAAATAGCCCCAAAGAAGTCTGCTCCCAAACGGACTGTCAAAGGTAAAGTTAAGATGTTAAGAGGACACAACATGTCAAAGGTAAAGTTAAGATGTTAAGAGGACACAACATGTCAAAGGTAAGATGTTGAGATGTCAAAGTAAGATGTTAAGAGGACACAACATGTCAAAGGTAAAGTTAAGATGTTAAGATGTTAAGAGGACACAACATGTCAAAGGTAAAGTTGAGATGTTAAGATGTTAAGGGGACACAACATGTCAAAGGTAAAGTTAAGATGTTAAGATGTTAAGAGGACACAACATGTCAAAGGTAAAGTTGAGATGTTAAGATGTTAAGGGGACACAACATGTCAAAGGTAAAGTTAAGGATGTTAAGAGGACACAACATGTCAAAGGTAAAGTTGAGATGTTAAGAGGACACAACATGTCAAAGTTAAGATGTTAAGAGGACACAACATGTCAAAGTTAAGATGTTAAGAGGACACAACATGTCAAAGTTAAGATGTCAAGAGGACACAACATGTCAAAGGTAAAGTTAAGATGACACAACATGTCAAAGTTAAGATGTTAAGAGGACACAACATGTCAAAGTTAAGATGTTAAGATGACACAACATGTCAAAGTTAAGATGTCAAGAGGACACAACATGTCAAAGGTAAAGTTAAGATGACACAACATGTCAAAGGTAAAGTTAAGATGACACAACATGTCAAAGTTAAGATGTTAAGATGACACAACATGTCAAAGTTAAGATGTCAAGAGGACACAACATGTCAAAGGTAAAGTTAAGATGTCAAGAGGACACAACATGTCAAAGGTAAAGTTAAGATGTCAAGAGGACACAACATGTTAAAGGTAAAGTTAAGGTGTTAAGAGGACACAACATGTCAAAGGTAAAGTTAAGAGGACACAACATGTCAAAGGTAAAGTTAAGAGGACACAACATGTTAAAGGTTTAAGGTGTTAAGAGGACACGACATGTCAAAGGTAAAGTTAAGAGGACACAACATGTCAAAGGTAAAGTTAAGATGTTAGGACACAACGTGTCAAAGGTAAAGTTAAGATGTCAAGAGGACACAACATACTGCTGTACACAACAAAACACTGCATGGTGTTCGGACCTCTGTTTGCAAAGTGACACATGGTTTCTGCCACTTCACTTGAATTTAATTATCAATTAATCTCCACGAAGGCTGCTTAACATGATTGTATTTTTAATTGTTGTTTAATAGCATCCGTCATTGCACGATGTACATAAACAGGCAAACAAAGACCACGATATCTTTACTAAACCTCACTAATACTGAACGCATGTCTTGTGTTGAACTTATAGTTTTAGATATGCATACCTTAAATTTGTTTAGAGCCATTAACTTTGATGGATGAATTGAAAAGGGGATTAAAAAAAATGTTACAGGGAAATTCTGGTCCCTCCTCTAAAACTGAATCATAATGAGAATCAAATGTGTGATGAGAAACTGTGCGTTTCCCTCTCCTTTGTACAGTTTGGTATTCTAAGTCTACATCAGATAAAGTGATTTTTGTACTAATAGTAAGATGTAAAGGATAGAAGTCGAACAATCATAACAGTGATTACCATACAGTAAAAGTATGTGTACAAGAACACAAAGAGGGGGACATTTGCTCTGTTTATGCGAGTAAATGTACTCAACTTATTGTTATTAAGCGTCCTTATAGAGAAATGTTGAAGGATGTACAGGCAAACAGGTGCTACAAATGTAATCCATGCCTGAAACCCAATTGGGGACTTGTACACCTGATTTTTGTGTTCCCCGCCTGATTATAGACCAATCATGATTACCCTATGCAATCAGGTGACGCTAGCTCTGGGTGTATCCTGTGAGGTTAAGAAACAATGCTGGGAGGAGTCTGCCACGTTGATGTGTTTGATTACATCCGGATTGTTCACCTGTAGTTAACTCTGACGCCAAAAAGTCTACTTTGAAACCTGTAAGACACCTAAAGGTAGACTTCAAGACTCTTAACTCAAGCATATGTTTTCAGATTCAAAACAAGAGGCTGATGAACCAGAGGACAGCACTATGGAGGAAGATTCCCATGATGGCCACGTGAGTAACAGTTTGCTCTGAGATTTAGTTCGGTCTGCATGTTTAAGAACTGCTGTAACATGTCGAGCTGCTGATGTTAGCAGCCCTCTTTGGCAGAGTTGTTCTGATAGTTCATCCTTTCTGATAAACTCACCATGTATGCAGAAGTGTCTGTTTGCTTGATCAGATAAATAACATGATTAAGCAAACAACAATGCAGTGCTGGCAGAAAATCTAAGAAGATAAATAACTGAAGAAACATTTTTCTTTGCTTCTCTAAAACAAAAGTGAAACATGTTTGAAGATCAGCTGATATGAGTTAATTTCATCCTGGGCTTTTCAAATTACAGTATAAGGTAAATGCTCAGACTACTTGGCAGTATACTTTGGATACCGGTATTGGCAGAACTTAAGTTGTTTGGCTCAAGAAGTGCTGCTGAACCTTTGTTTAACCACACCCCCCCCCTCCTTTCTCTCTCTCTTTGCAGGAGGAGCATCTAGATGATCATGAGAACATGCAGGAAATGGACATCCTGGACATGAACGTCCTCGATGACACGGAGAATGACAACGGAATACCAGCTGAGGACAATGAGTTTGAGACTGAGAATTTAGACGAAGATGCATTGTTGAATGAAGAACAGGACAACAGGGCCTTTGAGTCAGAAGACGAAGCCAGAGGTCCAGAGGTGAGAAACCAGTCTGGGAATGTGTCTCTACATGTGAAACTTTCATCCATTCTGCTGGCTGTTTTTTAACGTCATTGTTTTTGTATCTATTAACCAGATGGAGGAGCCAGAGGTGATAGAAAAAGATGAACATACGACATGCTCGCCAATTAATACGGTATGCTCCCGTACAGATGTTTCCATGTTAAATTGCGGCACAGAGATGTCACAAATGGTCGCATTAACCTGAATGTCCCGCCTTTCTTTTAGCCCCGGGATCAAGATGCCGACGACGTCAAAGAAGAAACAGGTACTGTAGGAAAAGGTTGATTCACAAGGTGGAGGCATCTTTTGACAGTGTTGAGCTTGCAGACACTTTGTTTAGTTTCTATCAGGTGGAGAGACTGGAAGCCCAAAGGGAATTGCTGCCTATGTGTTGATATTTGGCGAACCACAATCGATAACTGACTGGCGATCATATTTAGCGTCCAGTTATGTTCTTCGAGTAGTAAATCTGCAGTGGTTAACGATGTGATTCACATTGACAGCAATGAAATGTCAAGGTCAGGGAGGTGTGAGCTGTTGTAGGTGAATGCAGTGTTTCTAGGTTGCCACATGAAGATCCAAGAAAGACGAGATCCATCAAGACGTATTACAAGTTTTTAAACTCATGGACTTTGCTGGATGTGAAATTCCTGGACTTGTTTTCAATCGCTGCTGGACTCTGAGAAAGTCGAAAGCTCAAAGAAGACGAACTGCTGCAAGAATCTCCTGCTGCACTGCAGATCTTGTGACTCTCTTCAGCACTGAATATTTGTCTGCTTTGGATCAGGTGAACAGTGGTTCAACTTGAGAAATGAGCCTTAGTGGCTAAGTTGTCCTTCAGCCTTTTGGGTTCTCTTCCAGTCTCTCGTTAGGGTCTACTTCATCGTTTTAATACATAGATCTAAAACACAGGCCAGTGGTCATGACGTTCCTAATCCAGGCCTTGCCAGTTCCTCGTTAACCATTGCTGTGTTTCAGAAGTGATTAAACTCTGTGCCATTCTATTCCTGTTAAATCCGTAGAAAATGACAAAGTAGCCGGGTCTTGTTTATCTGAGCCGCTTAAAGAAGATCAGCCCCAGAGCCACGAGACGAGCCATGAAGAAGAGCAAGCTGCCATCGCCACAACGGAAGAAAATGTGTCCGACACCGGCGCCAATTCCGAGGAGGCCGCATCTGCAGACGTGGAGAGTGAAAGGGATGTTGTGGACCCTGACGCCAAAGAGGTTGGGGACACAGACAACGTCCCAGAAGAGACATTAGACACTGAAAACAAATGCTCTCAGGCTGTTAGTGTAAGCGAACAGGGGGCTGTGGGTGAAACTGTTGATTCAGAAATGGGGTCTAAGGGTGAGGAGGATGAGAAGACAGAAGAGAAAGCTGCTGCGGATTCAGCCTCGACTGTGAAAGAGTCCTCTTCTGTAGAGGGCGATGATCAGAAAAAGAGGTTTGTTGCTTTCTGTCTTCTAGAAACC